GCGTTACATGAGATTTGTTTACTTGACTTCAACAGATGAGATGCCAGCTGCCAGTGTGTGTTTGTGTTGGCTTGTGTGTTTTAATACATGTAGCCGTTTTGTTTGTGTACATGCTGTGTGCACATAATGCAGAAGGTGAGATTCAGTGACCTACCTTGTGAATTGGCTGGGGTTTGATGTAGAGCTTTATAGTAGCTGTACCATTACAGCGGCATGTGTGTGTGTCATGAATCAACATGGGACCCAACCTGGCCTGATTAAGTAAACCTTTGCAGTCTGTGAACACACTCACACAATTCAGTGTAGCATGATGGAGGCATTGTAAGCATAAAGCTGTCGTGCTGTGCTCACAAACACAATTTATCCTAGAACCACAGCAGCAGCTGACATGATGTGTTCCATACTTTTCACGTTGTTTTTTTCTTTAAGCATTTTTCCCACCAATTGAAGGAGATTTGGGTCGAGGGGCCCGTCTTCTCTCATGCGTCATGATGAACATGAGGCCAGTTGGTCTCCTGCTTCAACAGATTGACAGCTCAGTGCTGAGCTGTGATGTAGGTCTGCCAGCGTCGTCTGTTAGCTCTCTTTGGATCTCTGTCACTCCGCTCGTCGGCTCTTACAATGAGCTGAGAATGCGTCCTATTCAGACAACATCGTGAAAATGTGTCGGATGGACATCCACATTGAAGTCCACTGAAGCATTTTAGAGACTTCTGGCTCTTTTCTCCTGAAGACACAGCTGTGCCTGTGAAAGTGAAGAGGGGCGATTTAGAGGGAGGCGTTCACGACATCTGATGTCTCCTCCTTAACAAAAGGTGGTGCTGGTTAGTATGCGGCTGGTGTGATTGGATGGTTAGTGCACTGTATGTCGTAAATCCCCTCTGGTAAAACTTTGAAAGGCGGCTGTCTATAGGCACACAGCGTTGTATGTTGTATAGCATCCATAGAGATGTCCATAGGCTGAACTCTGTATTCTGTTGCTGTGGATAGTGGCTGCTGGGCCCCTGCCAGTCCCAGGCCCTCCATAACAACACTCTCTAACACTCTCCGCTTACAAGACTGGGCAAACTTCTCGGTGTCATGACCCTCTCCAAGCCTTTAGAAATCTCTTGTCACCCACCCAGCTAGCTCAACCAATGGTTCAGGCCTTCAACATGCAAAGAGTCCAACGGCTCGACCCCAATCTGTCACAGCCCATCACAAGGTCCTAACCCACCTTCAGAGATGGCATGCCTCAAAGTGTGTGGCACAGCGGGGTCCAACCCGCACCAGAACCCCCTTTTTCCAACAGTCCAGACACCAACTTCTTCTTTGCCTATCACTGAAAATCACTCAACAAATTGTTGTTTAATGACAGTATAGTTTGCCCGAGTGCTTAACTTATCTGAGAGGAATGTTTCTCGTTGCCTCACACACTCCAGTTTTATACGGTGGAAGGTTTTACTGAGCTTTCACATGGTCGGAGAAGAGAGCGACCATTATTCCTGTTATTTATAAAGGGTTGAACTGGTGTTGCATAATCTTCTTTCTAAGCATCAAGGATGCTGGGGCCATGAGTTGCCGTTACCTTGGTGAATGCAAAGAGGTCTTTTGCTTTCCTGGATAAATTATTTACTTTATGTAACTGAAATCCAAACAGGTTGGACTAATTTCTGCTCACACTATTTTAAATCCTTCAAATGATCTGTTGTAAGCCCCTGTTGGTAATGCCTGTGTAGTCAGGAAGGTATAAAGAACCAATATTTTGAGTTATTTGTGTTGCCCCTAAAACCAGCATTATAAAACAAAGCATGTTGTCTTCAAACAGCATACTTTTCTCTTCGTCTTCATTTCAGACCAGTGCGGGGCAATAAAGCTCCTTCTCAGGCGTCTCTCCATTGAGCTGAGAAGCTTCGGGCCCCAAGCCAAATCCTCTGGCAAAGTCAGCAGCTCATTTCTGATGTGTGGTAGGATTTCCTCTATGTTGTGCAGTAGGAATGCACCAGAATCACTTTTTCACTGCAGTGTACTAAAAGTTAATCTAATCTTTTAGTCTGGAGTGGTTGTCATGAGATTCAATCATGTCTCTTGATTAGATGTGTCACTCTGTGTATGGTTTAACATCAGGTCTGACCTAACAATGTCTGATGGCCAGTTTTGAGACCAGGATGACGATATTGGTATTAGTAAACAGCATCAGCAGCTCAGGTGGCAGAGAGGGTGAAAAATGTAAACGGCCAGGGACAAAGGCATCGGCTAAATGGAAAGCAGAGCTTGAATACAAGCCAGTGAACTGTGTCTGGGCCTTTAAATGCCCTTACAGATGCAATATTGTTTATTTCTTATTACATTATAACACCAATAAATAAAATGGACATGATACATTATCCATCCCTGTCTGTGATAGGCTACTGTGTGCATGCTGTGCTACTAAATCACCTCATTTGCCTGAGACTGGCTTTTCAAGGATTCAATGTTCAAGGCCATTTTGGTGTATTTTATTTTATAGGTGTGGCCACAATGCAATAACTCACAATAAATGAGAGAAAAACAAAGTATGAGTCATTTGCTTATTCAAAAACCTTGTGAAGGTCAGCGTTAGTTTTTGTGTTGTTGAGATTTCATACTGCTGCGTGAACACCTGTAGATGCCGACTGCCTCAGCTTGTGAGAGCTGCTTTCATGGTAGACAGCTCTTCAAGATGACTGACATGTGTTGGCGTGTGTGTGAGTGAACATCACCAACAGAGTTAGAAGAGAATGGGGCTTTGGATTTGAGTTGGTTTAATTAGTTCTGAAAGGGTTTTTGCAAACCAGACAGCTGTGGAGAGTTTTTTTCCAGCACACACAGGAACAAGCTGCCCTTCATCTGTTGAAACACGAAAACCACTGAAACGGTTTCACCTGGCAGGAAAACTGAATTAATTTATATCATACTTTTGCTTAAAGCGCTTTCCAATTTGCCTCTCATTCCAGCCTGTTCTCATTCAGAAATCGTTATATACCGCCACTTTGACAGTGATTTTGGAGTCAGACACCTGCCGCAAAAAGCCACCTTTCGCAGCAGAATGATACACGGCCAGGCGGCATCAGTATGTAACGTGGCTGGACGTAACCTTTTGTGTTGTTAAGATACATCGCCGGACAGCACCTGTTGTGATGGTATGATACACCATTCGACGGCATCAGGTTAAAATGCTGGCTATAATGACGTAATAAAGGGAGCTGGAAAGTCCCTATAGGGTGGGCAGGAGGGGTGGTTGATGGGTCCAACAAAAACAGGGCTTATATCCGGGAGCCTGAAGTTTGCTTCCTAAATGCCAAACTAAGATGTTTTTTTCTAAACCTAACCATGTGCTTTTGTTGATGTCCCGGTGTTGGTAACGCATCCTGGAATGTCAACAGCAGATGCAGCAGGATACCTAGGGGGTAATATGTAGACATGAAAAGCCACTGACTAAACAACAATACAGCATGTGGCAATTTGGGATGAGAATGTGTTGCTCATTCACAATTTTGGTCTTCCAGAAATATGTGAAATGGCCCCAATATGTGCTGGACTAAAATTATGTGCCTGCATCACGGAATCAATGCCAATATAAAGTCAGTTAGGATCCTTTGTCGTGGTGGACATACATATTCCCTGGTTCAATGTCATGCAATAGGTGGTGGTTACTGTTATAACCAAATAAGTAATATAAAGAGCAAGAAAATCTGCCTAGTGGTGGATGGGTCAAACAAGAACAGGACTTTTACCCAGGAGATTGCTGTTCGTGTCCCATGTGGGTGTTAACACTGACTTCTTTTAACTTTACATATGTATGTCATTTACAAACGTAGTAACATTGCAACATTGTACATGATATACTTACACCACTTTATGTCATACTTAACATTCCATATCTAACAAACGTAGCTTGTTTTAACCGAAAACACAATATGTTTCTAACCCCAGCCAAGTTTTTTTTTGCCTAAACCCATTGTGCCATCACCACATACATTTAACATGTTACATGCCACCACCACATAAGGTTGTGTTAAGAGATCGTGGTCATTTCACGTATTTCTGTGAGATAACGTTGACTCACACACCAATGGCAGCAAACTAACATGCAAGGTGAATGAAATGAAATTGTACCTTTAAAGGGCAGAAATTATTTAAATATTTACAGACAATATTAGTTACATCAAATTCAGGACATAACATATCCTTAAACTACAATTTGTATGCTATGTTATGATAGTGCACATACAGCGGTTTGTATGATATTTAACTTATTAGTGCCCCAGAAATGGCATCGCATTTTACATAAAGTTACGTATTTAACATAAAGTTACGTTGGTTTGGTTTAGGTAAAGAGCGACATATATGGTGACGATGTACCTTAAAATAAGTCAAAGTTCACTTGGTTTCACACTGGACACGAGCATCGGTCTCCTTGGGGAAAGTCCTGTGTTTGTTTGACCATCCACCACCCCAGCCTTTGCTCTTTATACTACCTTCTTTACTTCCATCAGTGCCCTGTTCACATGATCACAGCCTTCCTGATTACGTGGATTATGTACTGTATAAATTACTGGCTCATGATTAAATGTTATATATATGAATTCTCCTGCATTACCTTTTGCAAGTATACATACGAACAGTGCATGAGAACAGCCTGCAGGTCAATTCCGGCACACAAACAAACACAATGTTTGATTTTGTCTTCAAGGTCAAAGCACGTTAACAATTAGGGTGACAACACTTGATGGGGATACATTCAGAATTTATCATCTTATTGTACGACTATGGATGAATAAATGTTTATTGTGATAATAGTGCACGTTTGAGAAGATCAAATAGCTACAACTAAACTGAAAGATAAAAATAGTTACAGAACATAAAAAACATGAACTGTATTGTCGAGAAGTGTCTGGGGCACTGTGTGTAAAGTACTGGTATTTGTTTTATTCATGTATATAAAACTTTATTATGAGTTTCATCCTCTTCTGGTTTCTCTCCCTCCTCTCTCTCTGCAGGCCCAGGATGGCGCTCACTCTGTCTGCAGCTGGGCGACAGATCCTCTTTGCTCTGATGCTGCTGCTCTATTTAGGCTCGGGTAAGTTGTCTGTCTCCTACAGTGCCTCCACTCTTTGTTTCTGCTGCATCTCCAGGTGCTGTGGAAATTAACCAGCAGCTTCTGATCTAAAGAAAAAATAGCAAGAAATAATACCAGCACATAAGGAGGCTCAGGAAAAAGAAAGAAGGTAGGAGCAGCTGGACCAGGATAAAGGGAAAAAAACAGTTTCTAAATACATTTTTCTATAGACATGAATACACAAGACAGGTCTGTACTAATTTGAATGTTGTTAAGTGAGAGCTGACATGCTGAGGATGTTTGCAGACATGCTCGGTGGGACTGAGCTGGAACACCTCCAAACCCATTTATGCAAGTTTAGTCGACCATCTGTTCCATTACAACTATGCATAAAATTCACAATTATGGAACAAAAAGACAAAACATCTCAGAGCTGCAGGTCTCTGGTGGATAGTATCGCAGGTTTGAGGCCCCACATGCAGCCTGCTGACTGCCTGTAGTAAAGATAAGTTTCTCTCCTTAATTACTTTTCTTGCAATTGGCATGCATGACGGTAGCTGGTCAGCCTGGATTTTCATTAAAAGGAGAAACTGCATCAGTCATTTGCAAAATTAAAACATTACCTTACAAGTCATTACGCTCTGACAGCAGGAAGTTATTACTCAACGTTCAATCATGTCTTTGTCTGTGTTTGTTGCACAATCCAGCATACAGTAGTAAACAAATGGATCTACTTATACTACTAAAATACAATTTAAGATTGGAACCTGCAAGTACTGGACAGCAAGTCTATGTTTTAAGTTGTTGTAAAAGCTGTTAAAGCATCTATATTTGAGTCAGTAATTTGTAGGTTTATCCTTACAAAGTTGACAGTTGACAGTACAGTGTCAGGTTAATGGTAGATACTGTTTATCCATCTCTGGTGCACAACATGTTCAGCCTGCTAAAGAACAAGTGGAATTTGAAGCTGTTTGTTTTGGATATAAACCTTTTTTTGACCTTGACATTACTGTTAATGATGATATCTCGACTGTGTATTTCATGACTTTATAAGTTGATATAAATCACCTGAATGATTTCAGTAAACCTTAAAATGTTGCATAGTGGATTGTGGGACACAAAATACTGCAAGAGATACAACACACCAGTTGTGTAAGGTTGCATCTCTTGAAGTTGGAGGAACCTCTGAAACGGGATCGTATTATCAGCCTGACGATGTACGTATTTCTTCTTGAAGGTGTTGTTTCACATTCTTGCAGCAGCCCAGTTGCCAAAATAAAATGCTGGCATTGTACATATCTGCAAACCATCGATGTGTTACATTACATTTCATACGTATGATATAGTTCAGATTACATATATGAAGTGAGTTTCTGACCAGGAGGAGTGGGGGATGGTGGATGATGTGACACCCTAAGTGAGATGGCTGCCAAGCAACAGACAGCAGCAGACCGTTGTATGAGACCAGTAAAAGCGGGTGTTTTTTAACAACAGTTAGGGATATAAATCACAAATCGGGTTTTTTAATGACAGCCTGGGACATGTCCTGCTGTGTTTGAAGCAACAAGAGTGGCTTTTTTAACAACAGTTCAGGACATGGCCACCGATTTTTATTAGCACCAAAACCATTTATTTTAACAACAGTTTGGGACATGTCAGGCAGGGCGGTTGTGCTTGGGCAAACCCATCACCATCATTTCTCTGATTTTGCTACAAAAGAAAAAAAACACATGATATACTTGTATATGTATGTGTGTGTGTGTGTGTGTGTGTGCTTCATAAGTAGTAACTAGGGCGCACTAGGGCCCATCATAATAGCATGCACTGGGACCCATCCTAACTACCTTACGCCACTGCTGCCGTGTTTGTAGCCAAAAAAACCTGGTGTTTTTTTTTTTAAGTCAAAATATTATCGTGCTTAAACCTAACCACACATTAACCACAGCACTGTCGCAACATAAAATTAATGTGAAGTGAAGTTTTAACATATTCACTTGTACAAAAATGTACAAATTAAACATTTCTGTGGTTTGCAGAAATGTACAATGCCAACATTTATACATGCGATTGGTTGCTCGCAGAAAGTACGATGAATATGAAATGACTACTAGTTAGCTTAGCTTAACATAAAGACTGGAAACGGGGTGTACTCTAAACTAAAGGTCGACTTGGCTTTTTCTAGAGCTTTGAACCAAATAACATGTGGAACACTATTGTTTACTTCACGTGAGAATGAAATACTTGTTTTACCTGCTTTCAACAACTTGGCAACTGAGCAAACTGCTAAGGAAGACTGTGAGATGAAGTTAAAAGCTCTAGGAAAAGCTTGTAAGAAGACCTTTAGTTCAGATTTTTATCAAATGATGGATTCCAAAGTCAAAAGTGAACATTTATGGTCAGCATTTGAAATACATATCAGTATTTAATTTGTTGCTGTGGTGTTAGTGTGTTCTTATTTTGTTTGTGAGCAACATAATTTAGCATGAAATGATCAAATTCAGTTAGTCTGCACCATCAGTTCAGTTTAAGAAGCACTGATATTGGCCTTGAAAGCCCTCTTGCAGTGCACCTCACTGGACAGCTCACTGAACTCTCCAAGAGGGCTGACAGGAATAAGAGACGGCATCTGTTATTGATAGAGAGTGTCCTTTCATGTCACTTCCAGCTCCATCTTCCTCTTTATAGGCTGTTTTCTTTTGTCCCATCTGTCACCACCATGCTACAGGCTGCACTTGTCATCCAAAGTCTCTTAATTTCCTCCATTCAGTTTCTTATACTCCTTCCTTTCCTCCATCTTCATCTCTGGATTTTCCTCTCTTTTACTCTCCATCACGCTTTCGTTCCTGCTCTCTGTCTCCTTCAGGCTCTCATGCTTTTCCCTGGTAGCTGTGATTCTGTGATTACATCTGATTTGGGGGGAAGGCAGCGGAGGCGTTCTTCAGCACAGAGAGATGCTCTCAGGGGGTTCAGCTTGTGAAAGCCGTCCAATCTAAATGCAGATGGAAATATCTTTTGGGGATTCAATTCTACCTTGTGCAATATTCCAAATAAGGCTTTTTGTAGTTTGTTTTGTTTTTTGTTGTTGTTATTGTTTTTTACACAGGTTCTCTTGTTCTGCTCGTATCAGTTTTCTACAAACTGGTGCATTTGACTAATGTTGAGAATTTGAATGAAGAGGACCAGACAAGAAAACAATGCAAAAATCCTTGAGCAAATTTGCTTTAAGCTTATTAAAGCTTTGTAATTATGTTTTCTGCCTTATTGTTGTTATGTTGCCAGGGACCGTTGCGCCCCACAGTCCATGTTACTTTTAGATTTTGTGAGCAGAAACAGCTCATTAACTTATCGTGGATTGTTAACGAGTATATAGTAGTTTGTTTTTGATCATTTTTCAACAAAGAAATTTAACTCAAGGTCATTTAACCAGCGGTTTCTGCAGATTTCAACCCCATCTCGCAGCCTTCATTAGTGGATGGAGTATGCTCAGTTGTCATGGTGATAGCCAAGTTGTCATTATGATATGCAAATAAATTACATTTTAAGGAAATCAACTTTGATGGTTGGAAAAGTCTTCTTATGTGTAAGAGAAATACAATGTCAGCTTGCTACTAAATAAAGTATGCTAAAATAAAATAAAATAAAGTGAATTAAAATAAAATAAAATAATCATTCTTGGTATGTTACAGCAGGTGCACGGAGGATAAAGCAACAAAACGGCAGGAATGTTTTTGTCTGTATAGGTGACACTGTTGTCATGGTTACATTGAACCTGTATGTCATGGCAACCAGACAGAGTTGCTGATATCAATCTGCAGCACCATGGACCTAACTCTCCCGTTGACATTGGATTTACATTGATGCTTCCCTCTGCGTGAAATAACTCAGAATTAATTAGTCTGAGTGACAGTCAGAGTCATTTGTGTGAACACAGAGAGAGTAGGTTAGAGATTAAAAGAAATAATTAATTGAAGCCTGTGAGCTGCTGTGGTCACTTGTGTGCGTGTTTCTACTCGTGTGTGTGTATCTAATTGTGTGTGAGTGGCTGGGATCCCGATAATGGGTCAGCATTATGTTCTTTTGCTGTAATGATAAAACCGGTTCCTTGTTCTTGTGTGGAAACATGAGTGTGAAATTGCTAATGAATCCCTGAGGTCTTGTTACTGTAGCAGACACCTTGGTTAGAAGCTACAGTACAGCCTACACTTTCTACAGTATATATATCTCCTCTACTACGTAGTGGAGAGTACTGTACAGGATTTAATCAAACAGTGGACTTATTACAGGGTGCAGTGATGACGTTTGGTTATAGGCCAACACTGAAGTTAGCTTCACCCTTGTTCCCCAGCCCGTACTCATTACCTACTTGTCAGTGTTTACGGCCTCAGATGCCGATGCAATAAAGCTTTGACTGTAGTATGATTCTACACCGGGCGGTGGCAGGACAGCGTCAGGTTGTAATGCCACTGGACCATGTCAGGTTGTAACACAGCCAGCAGCAACATAATATAAAGAGCTCCTATAGGGCAGGAGGGGAGATAGATGGGTCCAGCAAACCCCAGACTTTCACCCAGGAGGCAGCTGTTCACTCCCCATGTGAGTGTTGAGCCAAACCATGATGTTTCTTCCAGTTTTAACCTATTTTCCTATGTTCTAAGTGTATTTTGAAAACGACTGCATGCATCTAACAAGCAGAAACTGAATATTTCCTGTGAAAACAGAAGTGTACTTTGAAAAGACACAGTGCATATAACATTTGTAAATTGACACGTGGTCACAGAATGTCAACAACAGACACAGGAGGATACCTACCGCATCATATTTAGACGCTAAAGTCCACTGACAACGTGGCGATATTTGAAGAGCTGGGATGAAAACTCGTTGACAAAAAAACAATGGGATTTTTCCATTGGATTTTGGATTATTGCAGACAAGAAGCTCTGTGGCAAATAAATGTTAATGATATTCATTCGGCAAGATAATCATCACAAATTAACACCACTATTATGATTTTTGAAGCCTAAATGTAATCACCATAAATAAAAAGTTAACATTAAGCTGTAAACGAACTACACCACGGTCGCATGACTTCAGCATCGCCACCACAATGATGCTGTGTTCAGTGTGATGACGTTCTGTAATCTCTTTTTTTAGACATCTAACCAAAAATCCATTCAAAAAATCCATTGACTTTAAGACCACGGGACCAGGAGTGCTAAAACGCTAACTCATTTTGGGGTTTTAGGACTCAATCCTGCACCACTCTGTCCTTTAAGTGAAGTAGCTTGTTTTCTTGATAACTTTGGTTATAATGAGGTATTTGATGCTATAAAAAGGGGATTTGAGGTCATGATTAGCAGCTGTGTGCGTCAGTTGGTATCAGTGGCACTGATCACAATTGGTCAGAGTGGGAACTTGACACTGCAGAGATCGCTACAGTGCTAACTCTCCGAATGATGTCACCAGCCAAGATGGCAGCAGCTGTCAGGATATTTTAGCTTCATTTTTGTACACTCGAGGGAAGTGGAAATGCATTGTCCATCTTTATATACAATCACTGAGTGAGTTCTTCCAGAGCTTAAGTATAGTCATGCTTCACCTCAAGGGCCCTAAATATCGAATTATGTTTGTCTCTTTTATCACTAAAAATTGAATCACATTGTTGACATATGTCTGTAAGGCCTACTATTTTTTGTAGTGTGGGGTTTTTTGTGGAGAATCAGTCATATTAATGACAGTGCTCGCCTCCTCATGTGCAAATGTTCCACCAAGCAGAGTTCCCAGACAGTATTTTGCAAAAGCACCGTCACTGCATCCTGGGCCAAGACAATTGTGATTGGTTTAACGAAATATAAACAAGCCAGAGCATTTTTTCCCTACAGCAGAAAGATAATGTGTGCTTCCAGACCTTCTCTAGCATTGACACATTGCTGTGGAGATACATTGCATTGCAGGACTAGTCCAAAGGTAGATACATGCAATACACTGTCGATTGTTTTCCTTTCTTGTAAACAAAATGTCCTCCAATATTTTTAATTGCATATTCTAATTATGTCTTGTTCTTTTGTCTGTCCTCTCTAGGCGCAGCCTCTTCCGTAGTGAACATGCGTAGGATCACCCATCCCACAGTACAACAAACGCTGGCAGGCAAAGCCGTCCTCCCCTGTGTCTTCACCCTCCAGACCAGCTCCTCCAGCCAGCCTCCCCACCTCCTGTGGACCCGCATCAGGGTACCAGCAAAAGGAGAGGGCGCTCCTCTGGAGCAGATTGTGCTTTCTGCTAAAGGTAAGACAAAGACATGATGAACTAGTTTAGCTGCTGATCAGACCTACATAACTCTACTTTGCTCAGTCAGATAACATTTCTACTAGTGCTTAGAGGGTACACTGAAAAGATGCTCTAATGAATATGTTTATATTAATACTGGATCAAATGATGATGGTCAAGGTCAAAATGTTTATTGTCATATCCACAGTTTGAAACAAGTTTCTCTGTACAATGAAATGCTTTGACGTCCTCTCTGAATGCAGTTTTAAAGACACAGTGAAATGGAAAATACATTTTACCAGTTTTAAAACTGTTTCCTTGGTTAATTGATCATTTATCTCTTGTTATATGCCAAATATATGTCAGAAAATCAGTATCAGTGTATTATGACATCAAAATCCCTGTCTTCTCTCTGTCTGTGAAATGGTTTCATATATTTGATGACTCATTCTGCACTCAGGGGTTTTCACAAAAGTTCATCCAATCAAATGAGACTTTGGGCGACTAGTGAGACACACCAGTCACTTAACTGTTTGAGGGTTGTAGCTGCAAATAGAGCAATATGGAGAGAGACAGGAAGAGATGTGCCTTTGGATATCAGTGGGCAAAACTTTTCATTTCCACCACAATGTGGCTGAGGTCTAATATGTTCACATCTATCTCATCTCTCTCCTGATCTATCAATTCAATCAATTTTATTTTTATAAAGCCCAATATTACAAATCACAATTTGCCTCACAGGACTTTACAGCATAAAACATCCCTCTGTCCTTTGGACCCTCACAGCAGATAAGGAAAAACTCATCCAAAAAAACCCTTAAACGGGAGGCGCATGTAGAGCCAACAGTCATCTCTGCTGGCTCTGCTGTAGCTCCGATTAACTCTAAGCCCACCCACTTTTAAGCAGTCCAATCAGATGTGAAGGATTTGATTTAAATCCCTCTTGTAACTGCACACTGCTCAAATGTTCCATTTCATGGGGAAATTTGTCAAAGTAAAGAAGCTAAAGACGCTCTTAACTTCTGTTTTAGAGGGACTTTGACAATGAAACACGAGGTATTAAAAGTGAAAAATATGAATACAAGAATATAAGGAAATTAATAAGATAAAAGATAAAAAGGTTTCACAAGAGATAAAGATAAAAAGAAAATAATAATTATAGTATCCAAAGAGCAATATGCCCGAAAAATACACAATATAAATACAGGTATACAGTGTGGATATCAATGTGTATGTTCACAAATAATTATCACTCTGCAGCTCTCCTCAGCTTGAGGTATTTAACCCTTTGAAACCCTTTGATTTCTTTCAAAAACATGGGAAGAAGGCAATAAGCAAAGAAAGAAGAAGAAGATGACCTAAAACATTTGCAAGAAATTAGTAAAAAGAGATATTTAAAAACAAAAAATAGTGGAAAAAAAAGAAAGTTAAAAACAAATAATTAAACAAGAAAATGTTTTCATTATTATTTTTATTATACTTTATTTAATCTATTGATTTTTTGCAATTTGTGGAACTCTTCTTTCAAGGCTACTCTTTGCCTTGTTCCCCATGTTTTGTAAGAAAAGCCAATGTGCTCAGTGTTAAAAGGATTAAATACATGTGAAAGGTGTCTGAAAGCAGCACAAGAACAGTGATGTCGCTCCAGGTTTCAAAGGGTTAATGAAGGCCTCATAAATGAAGCAATGACTGAGAACTCAACAAGCTGACAAGAGCAGCTGCTGGAATTCATAGGAGATAAATTCTCACATACAGTAGAGGTTTTCCACTGTACATGTAAAAGCTCCAAACCTTCCTGAGTGGAAGGATCTTTAGCAAAGTCAAGGCAAGGTACAGATTGAATTCTTCTATCAAGGACCCCTTTAATGTTTTGATGCATTTCAGTTTACTGTTTTGGTTCAGTCTCACTGCTCTTATCAGCCTGGGATTCAGATGCAGCAGACTGCTGTTTTTAGTAAAAATAAAAGCTCTAAAAAGTTGCATTTGGAAGTTGGAGTGAGTGTGCAGTCACTCTAAAGTTAAATATTAATGACTGTATGAGAAGCAATTAAATTTAACGTTAGAAATAAAAACTTAATTTGTGTATAATTTAATTTAATTCTCAAAAACACAGTACAAATGTGCTTCGTCAGGACTGCGTGGATGTAGTTTGAGCACACATTTAGTATTGCTAAATCCTGATTGGCCCACAGAAGTACGTGCTTAACGTTGTTCCAACTGAGTCCTGCCCACTTCCAACCAGTGGGAAAAGTAAAGACAAAAACACAAATACAAAAGTCGATCGTGGGAAATGACCCAAACTGTGTTTGGCAGACAACTGTGTGTTTACATAGGACCCAATCACTAATCGTAAGAGGCCCATTGATAAGTTTTCCAGGCCTTTAACTCAATCTGTGCATTTAGGGCCTCTTATAAGTTTATGTTTTATCTGTAAAATCTGCAGAATGCCAATAGACACTCATAATGAAGAAACCTTTGTCTCTGTGCCAAAGGTGATGTAATCAAGGTGAATAAGGCTTTCAGTGGCCGCGTCATGCTGCCAGGATACACTGCCAATCCTCTGAATGCTACCATGGAGATCTCCAGTCTGCGTACCAACGACTCAGCCACTTACCACTGTCAGGTTGTCATGGGCAAAGACTATGAGAGAGACGCTGTGCCCCTGGTGGTCTCCGGTAAGAGCAGCAGCCACTGACGGGAGATTTCACTGTGAGAAAAGTTTAGTGCCACAGCTCCCCAAAGGAAACAGTTAAACTAAGAGGAGACGTTGCTGATGGACTGAGCAGTGTTAACTTGAAAGACTTTAAAAATTCTTTTTCTAGCTTTATAGATTTTTAGTTTTTGCACTCCAGGCTTGTTGTGCTAATGTAAGATAGATAAACCTGAGAACAGGAGCACTGCCAACCCTTTTCAGCTTTTCTATTTAATTAAACATTAATAACATTGATTCACCATATCAATATCATAATGACTGACTTAATTAATGTCGCTCACTGCTCTCTGTGTTTGTGTTGTTTTTGTTATCTAGTTTTCCACTTGACTAATTGTGTAATTCTTTTAATTAAAGAGTCTGAACTGAATACCAATGCTAATTTTTCTGTGTGCCCATCTGTGAAATTTCAGCTCAGACTCACATCATGTTAGATTGATCTGTTTGTGGCCACATTAACATGCTTATTGATCACATCCCGCTGATTTATTGATTTTAAACTTGGCGGTGTTGGTTTACCCCTCTAATAAATTCACAATCACCTCACCACCTGTCGTTGTGTCTACATGTGTAGGTGTGGTGTTTCACTATCAGGCTCTCAGCACCCGATACGCCCTCACATTTGCTGATGCCCAGCGGGCCTGCCAGGAGAACTCGGCTCAGATGGCCACGCCAGCCCAGCTGTGGGCAGCGTACTATGACGGCTTTGCCAGCTGTGCAGCTGGCTGGTTGGACGATCAGACTGTTCGGTGAGGAGATGTTCAATATCTTCCTTCAGCTTGTTGCACCCATGTAGAGTTGCTCACTAGTCGCAGTGAGTCAGGCAGTGCTTTGAAGCAGGGTAATGATTATGTGTATTATTGATTAATCTGCAGATTGTTTTCTTATTGAATTGATTAGCCCAGATTTTTATATTCAAATTGCCTGTTTTGCTAGATTCACAGTCCCAAACCCAAAGATTTACAATTGGCTATCAAGGAAGCTAAGTGATTTTCACATGTGGAAAGCTGGAACCCGTGAACTTTAGTAATTTTTGCTCAAAGGAGTTGTTCAATATTTTGGGAAATATGCTTGTTTGCTTTCTTTCTGCGATTTCGGTGAAAGGATTGATACTACTGTCATGTCTGTATGGTCAGTGTAAAGCTACTATTAGCAGCCTGTTAGCTTAGTTTAGCAAAAATACTGGCTGGAAACAGGAGGAAACAGCGAGCCTGGCTCTTACAATTTGTTTTCAGGTTGTCTGTCTGTCCTTCCCATTCTCTTGATCACAATATCGTAAAAAATCCTTGAGGGAATTTTCTCAGAAATGGCACAAACGTCCACAAGGACTCAAGGATGAACTGATCAGATGTTGGTGGTCAAAGGTCAAAGTCACTGTAACCTCTCTAAAATGTTTTTGGCCATAACTAAATAATTCATATGCTAATTATGACAAAATTTGGCACAAATGTCTAATAGGGTAAAATGATCACATTTTGTATCCAAAAGGTCAAAGGTCAACTTCACTGTGACATCATAATGTTCAGAAAAAACACTTTTCTGGCCATTATTTAATGCTATAACTCAGGAACAGAAGAGGGGACATTTGATTGAATACTGAATTTGTGACACTAATCTTGGGTGTACACCTCAAAACTGTGCTGACTGTATAATATTGTATTGTATAAAGATGTGTGTGAAGCATCCATTTTTTAGAATTTGTAGCTTCTTTGCAGCCACATCCATATTTGAAGCATTGTCTACTGTCATGGCTACACATGAATCTGGGCTAGGGCTGTACCCAAAGATCGCTGATTAATTTAAAAGCACATGGCCCGTGCACTGTGCTGTCAGTCCTTATAACTTGGTGTAGGTGATGGCAGGACACACTAGATATATAGTAAATAAATTCAGCACACAAGAGAGCTGAATACACAAATCAATCAAATATCAGATTATCAAATTAGTGGGGGATCAGCTAAGCTAAGCTAACTGGCTGCTGGTGGTCGACATGAGAGTGGAATCAATCCCTCATGTAACGCTCAACAAGAAAAGAGAATATTTGTATTTCCAAAGTTGTCAAACTATAAAAAATACTTGGATGACTTAATTATTCATCAAATTGATCAATCAATGAATTAGCTACTTTGAATACTACTGTATTTATTGATACGACTGCTAATTCTCTAATTTGAATTTGCTTTGTTTTGTGTACAGTTTGTTCTCTCTCTTCTTGGATCATCATGCTGCCTAAATTAATATTCAGTTCTTCTGTTTTGTCACTTCATCAGCCTCAGATTCATGTTCTTTTTACCGCTGTTGTTTCTTTGCTGTTAATTGTATTTTAATTTATTCTAATTTCTTAACCTTTACAAGAGAATGCAAATAAGAATTTATGCTAAAGTGACATTTAAAGTCTTTATGAGAATTAACGCCTTGATATGTGAGCTGAGATAATGCTCATATGGCTAAATGTTCACGAGACTTATTTCCTGTGATTAGTGAAAAAGAGGTTAATTCCCATTATGACTCCCACGTGGTTGTCTCCACAGCTATTCCGTCCAGTTGCCAGAGCTTGGCTGCTATGGACACAAGGAGTACTCAGCTGGAGTGAGGAATTATGGGAAGAGGGACCCGAAAGAGCTGTTTGATGTGTACTGTTTTGCAAAAGAACTGGATGGTATACACACACACACACACACACACACACACACACAAAACACATCAAAACCTGTCACATCTTTTGGCTTTTACACTGATGTTTGCATCATACTCTGCTACAATATTAAAGGCAATATTCTTTTTGTTTAAAGGAGCTGTATGCAACATTCAGAGCGCTCATATTGCAGTAACCCACTCTTTGCTATGTAAAAATCAAATATATAGTCGAGTAATGGCATCCTGAGTAGGGAATGAAGTCACGCTCCCTCTGTGTGTCTTGTAATCTGAGTTTCTCTGTTCTTTGTTGTGGTACAGCCATGTGTACATGTCAGTGAATGCTGGCTCATTGCCACCGCTTTGCACTGCACTCATACGGAAGTTACTGCTGATATTAGGACATCCCTGACACGGAAACGTAGCACCAACCTTCCGGTTCCCCCTGGTTAACACTGTTAGCTCTGTCAGCTATTGTTTAAGAAAAGATAAGATAAAAATACTGATATACAACTAAAATGGCACACCAAATGACACAGATAAAAAAGCAGGTTGAATGGCAAAAGAATACTTATGGAATAAAGATAAAATACAAAAACATACATATCTGAATTAGAAAAGTATAAAATACATAACTGAGACACAACTGCACACTCAATACTATTTACACTATATACACCTTTCACTTATGCACATATGGAAAAAAGTATATGTATATATGAATATATGTATGGGTATAGACAAAGACATTTTGCAGTGAGGTTAACATGGGGGAATAAATAAATATTGCAGAGTTTAGTGCTGTTTGTGGAGTTAGCACGATTAGCTGACAGCCACCAGCTCAACCACCTCCAAGTTGAGAACCATGTGGAAACAATACATATACTCTGAATTTTGCATTGAGCCCCTTTAAATCTTACTTTCTATAAAGTGAGAGGACAAAAGATTTTTTGCAACAAATATTTACTAATCCAAAGCTGTAAGATGTCCTGTCGCTTATCTGTCTGACTAAGCCTCTGTTGGTGAGGGCCAGTACGGAAACGTAGCAAGCTGATATCTGGGACAAGACTTCCTCTTACATGCAACAGTCATTTCGGCTAATCTCTATAAACAGATATCTGTATATGAATGCAGATACATTTCCAAAAAAGCAAATAAAATGCTAAATTGTCATTAAATCATAGTCGACGGGATGCAAAATTGCATTTCTGCCAATGCGTTCCGCTCAAATGTGATTGGGCAATACTACAAATATGCTGATGATACCAAACTCTTGTCATGTTGCCCACAGATTCTGTATACGTATGCAGATATATGTTTGTAGAGATTATTGTTTGAGTAACCCTTGCTAAAAACTGCTGTTTTAGCAAATTACTGAACCTTTTTAAAAAATGAAACTATACATTTGTTCAGTCTGTTTTTAAAGATTTATGACTTCATTAGCAAACAATAGGCTGAGTGCTACACAGGGCAGGGAACCACATTGTTGGTTTTGGTCTATTTGTTGGTCCAGATTATCAAAAATATAGACTATAACCAGCCTTATCCCTTAGGTACCAATATAATTAGACATATTATGTGTGATTTTTAAGTCCACAAATGTAGATACAGTATTTAGCCCTGGTGTCTCCCTGCTGGAAATCCAACAGACATCATCTGCTTCTTGACAAGTTCTCATGTCTCCGTCCTCCAGGTGAAGTGTTTCACTCCTCGGTCCCAGGCAGGCTGTCTCTGTCCTCAGCCTCAGACCGCTGCGTGTCCCTCGGGGGCCAGCTGGCCACAGTGGGGCAGCTTTATCTGGCCTGGAAGTCTGGCCTGGACAGCTGCGCCCCGGGCTGGTTGTCTGATGGCAGCGTCCGCTACCCGGTGACCTGGCCTCGCCCGGACTGTGGAGGGAACCGGTCAGGAGTCCATACCGTCCCACCGAACAGCACTACTGACAACACCACAGCCCTATATGATGCTTACTGCTACAGAGGTACTGAACCATAATAGGAAAAGCACTGACTGCATTTTTGTGATATTTTTGATGATGGAAAATGAGTTACAGCACTCAACAAGAATACAGTGAAACTACAGCATAACCTCAATAATGTTTCATTATAATATGAAATAATGGTTCATATATTCACTTAAAATGTCTAAAAGTCAAATAGTTATATTGCTGCCACCTCGCTCATAACAGAAGTGTGTATGTTGCTGTGGAAGCCCTCAGTCCTATTAATGTTGTTACAATGACAATAAATGTCATTCCCACTGTTGTAACTATGGCAACGCTGATTTCTGATCCACATTATCCATCCCACCGTCATATATCTGTGAAACTAGATTGACAGCAGCCGTGGGAGAGAGGGAGAAAGAAAACAGTGTTGGGGTTAAATATCGAGATGCTCAGCCTTTGTTCTCTGTGTTGACTGATGTCGGCCAACTGCTGCAAAATTAAAACACAGCAAATCTCCAACACAAACCGGATAGAATCCATCAGAGTTGCCATGTGAACAGCAAATCTCTTCAACTTGTTTCCCAGGTAAAGTGAAGAATTCGGGCTCTATCTCTCAGATCTACACCTCCCTGTGGAAGCCCTGGAGCTACCTCACAGGCTCAAGTGATGCAGACTCCGCAGGGACCGGCAGTCCTGACGTGACTACACAGCAAAGCACCACTACCAGAGGTTTTATATTTGTCTACGATTAACAGATCTGTAGAGGCATGAACCAGCTGATTAATCAAAGAATCAGCCATCTAACTGGTAAATACAAATACAATGAGGTTGAATTTGCAATACATATGTTTTTTGAAACACATCATTGCAGGGCCCTCGGATGAAAGAGATGCTTCTCCTTCAAACTGGACAGGACTGGTTGACCTTGAAGAGGAGGACCTTCACAGCACTGATCCATGTAAGACTGATTTCTAAGATTGAATTAATTATGCGTATTGATCACCAAAGAATGTGGCTCTGTGACATTAATCAAACTGATTGTGTCCTCAGCCTCAGACCCCTGGTCTTCAGAGTCTTCAGGGTCATTTGTGACCCTTCACATAATGCCAGGACAGAGCCTCTTAGACTGGGGAGAGCCGCTGGAGCCTGGCCCCGACTCAGATGAGTTTCTCCGCCCGCCTGTCCACCCTACTCCTGCTGAAAAGAAGGTCAGTCTGGGTTTAAGCTTATTAAATTTATTCCGAGATTTGAGGCAGCATCACTGAGCCAACTGTTTGCTATTTTAGGTGATCTCAAAGATCGTCAAATCCATTTGGAAGCCTTGGAACTACCTGGCAGGGACTGAAGATGAGGAGGGAACCCAAGCACCAAGTGCACAGGCAGGGGGAAAGGAGAAGACTACGAAAAAGACAGATGAAAGGTCAGATCCATCCAGTGTAGCAACACCAGGTGAGTGGGTTGATACTGCCTCAAATGTGTGAATTAATATGGCCTATCATGTGAGGTTAGCCTGGGTTTGGTGCGGCTGCTCCAAGCGCTTCTAATTGAAAATCTCTTAACTTTTCAGAAAGGTGCTGGTGTCACCACTGTCACTCCTTTACTGTCTATCCCAAGCTGTATGATATGCCAGTCGGAAACGATCACAACAAAAATAGAAAAGCCCATTTGTGAAGGCAGATTTGCCGGACACTGTATGTTGCTGTTGAGGTAATTGTTAACTGTGTAGTCAACCCTTTGTTAACCTTGCATTTCGTTGGCTAACTACCTAATATTAATGTCAAGATATTGTTGTCATAGAAACAAAATGGGATGGAGTGCTCCCCTGCCACCACTTTTCTGCCCAAAAAAAAACCACGAAATGAAACTTAGGGGAAAAAAATTAAGTCCTTGAGCTCAGAGTATGTCATTTCTTCCTATGCTCTAATACAACCCACAGGAGGGTTTCCAAAATTAGTGCTCATACCAGTTAGGTTAGGTTTAGCAAAAATAATTTTTAATTTTTGTTTAAAATAGGTACAATTGCTAACTTACCTACATATATTACGTCACATTACTGACTGAACGTAATGTGATGACATGACGTTACTGACGACGTGATGTTAAGTACGAAACATGGCATAATGTATGTACCTTAGTTAAATAATTTAATATTGAATTTTAGTCTTACACAGGACGTGAACAACAGTCCCCTAGATCAAAGTCCTGTGCTTGTTTGACACATCCATCCAACTCAATTGCCTCCCTTTGCGGACTTTGTCTCTCTTTATACCCCATCACCAGACTTCCTCCTTTGCTCCTTTCATAATTACTACGGATATCAGTGGTCGCTGCCTACACTAAACATATATACAGGTCGAAATAAGCTGCTTGTACAAATAACCAATCATGTTGTTCAAAAACAGGCAGAAACAGGAAACAGGAGAAAGCAAAAGATTTTAAGATTTAAAACTTTATTTTTACTTTCTGGCATGTGTCTGGCACCATCTCACCTCCATCCACCATTAGCTCATGTGTGTGCTTCACTGTGGAACAGTGTCCATCAACAGTATTGAATGACATCTTTTAGCATATTAACTTTTCCAGTATTAACACATTACAGTACGCGTTACTGTCAGCACAGTATATAGTCTGGAATAGTGGCACAGCTGCAGGATTTGTGTTACAAAGCAACCAAACTCAGAATTTAGGTGAAAAGCCTCTGAGGGCAACGGGCAGTACTTTGGGGGTTCTGGTGTAGCTGGCGATATTCGGGCCAAGACTTCCTCTTTGTGTGCCGCTCATTGTTTACAGTTGGATAAGCAACTTGAGACAACAGCTATCTGCATGTGAAAGCACAAAAATTTGAATAAAGCAAATAACAAGATGGGCGGTACGGTGGACTAGTGGTTAGCGCTGTCAACTCACAGCAAGAAAGTTCCAAGTTTGATCCAGCTGGCTGGCTGGGGCCCTTTTGTGTGGAGTTTGCATGTTCTTTCCATGTCATGGTGGGTTTTGTCCGGGTTCTCCAGTTTCCTCCCACAGTCCAAAGAAAGCAGGTCAACTGGTGACTCTAAATTGCCTGTGGGTGTGAACAGGAGCATGAATGAATGTCTGTCTCTATGTGTCAGGCCTGTGATGGTCTGGCGACCTGTCTAGCCCAGCACCGACTGTTTACCTGCATGCAGCCAAAGCCCGCTCAGATGTGATTGGTCATTACCACTAGGACTACATGGAAACCAGAACGCTGATACTAAACTCTTGTCTCATTGCCTACAGATATATACATGAGATATTAAAGCAACCAGAAGGCTTGATGACAGTGTATATTTATGAGCACGTACATTATTCTGAACATATTGCTGTTGAGGCACTAATTGGCTCAGGTCTGTGATGTTGGGGAAACATCAGTTGGGCAACACAACAGGATGGCACACTAATTACACTACAAAGAAGCCCCAGGAATGAAGTTCATTAGAGAAACGCAGAATTAATAAGGGGTAACTGGGAGAGCAGAGACCTCGGAGCCCCCGTGTATGGTGAGGAGAACAGAGGGAGTGTGTCCAGCACCAACCTTCCCTTCTGCAAAAACTGGCTGGCAGTTTCTCTGTAGCTCAGGCTGGCTCATCTGCAGGCTCACTAACGAGCTGTGATTGACACCAGGTGTGACAGCTGATGAGCTCCAGCTGTGATTTCCCTCACTTTGGGATATGGTGTAGCTGAATAAGAATCTGTCCTTTTATTTGTGACTGGTCAGTAACCTGCATGGAAAATGTTGCAATAATGATTTTATAATTAAAAATATGAAGGTTAAAATAAACTAAAAGCATTCCTTAAAGCTACGGTTGATAACTTAAAAATATAATATAAAAACAACTTATGTCACATTTGATGAAACTGTCACTAACTATATCTTTAAGGCTTTGATAAAGAATAGACAAGGTGAATTGTGTCTTATCTATACTGAGCAGCCACAGATCTGCCACACAAGCACTTAAGTCAGTGCCTTGAAAACGAATTAAAATTTTAATTAGATAAGTCTGAGGTCTGCTTCAATTAAACAGAACAAAGTCAGATGAAATCAAATGGTAACACAAGCAAACGCTGGAGGTTAACACTGATGTTTTTAAGAAAGGTCATATTTGCTTTCATTTACTGTGGAACTTCAGTCTGCAGCTGAAAGAGGAGTGTTTATAACTCTACCCATGCCCAAATGAGCAAGACGTCTCTTAAAAAGTCTTTCAACAGGGCCTCAGGTGTGACGTTAATATAATCCTGTATGCACTCATCAATTAATTTCATAAAATGTGAGAAGAATTTATGCTTTATGCGTTTTTAACTGGCCATTACTGAGCAACACGGCTAGAAGTTTGAGGGAAGAGGTAGTATTTTACAAGTCTGCTGGAAATTAGAGAGATGTACACAAGAGACTTACAGATGATAACAAAATCAGGATAGGCTGACTACATAGTTTCTAAATAACTCTAGCTATGTTTCCATCCAAAAGTGAATCGAATCATTGGGAAATGCGCATTAAAAGAAATATGAATCCTGTGGGTTTCCATTAAATGCACGGACTTTGGAGAAAACTACGAACTCGCGCAAGTTTTCCGCAGAACCCGAAACAAAACAAGTCTGGCATTCTTCTTCTTCTACGTATTCTGGCGGTTGGCAACCAGCTTGTAAATGCATTACCGCCTTCCCAACCCGGAGTGTGGATATCACCATGGAGAGAGGTGTGCTACATCAGACTTAATTCGAACAGAACGGTTTCCATCCCCGGTTTTGCAAATCAGCATTTTTTTAAATCAACCAACCGGCTAAAGCGAGCGTATTTTAGTTTGTGTGAATCAGGGGATTTTAATTCGAATTTTGGCGTTTCCATCATAATTTTCCGATGCGATACTTCTAGATGCGCATCTAAACAGGCTGATGGAAACATGGCTTATGAGGTACATATGTGTTTTAACTTTGGGACAAACAAAGCTCCTGGGAAAAGAGTAGGACTATTGTATTGGACATACTATAGGCCCCTAATCTATGTGTTACTATCGTCAGTGCATATCAACACTCATATGCGCTGACGATAGTCCCTTGAGGACTGAAATGTTTGCTGCTTGTTTGCTGCTTGTGAAGATCCCCAGTAAAATGATCTTTCATTAAGACTCTTAGTCTACATTTGTTTTCTGTGTGTGAGTCCTTTTCCGCTTTTTGACTTTCATCTCTGACTACCGCACCAGAATTAAGAAGATTTTGGACTGATGTTAAGTGCGCAGCTCTTTTCTTGCTCATTACTGTGTATGTTTTGACGTAGGCCTACTTACAGTATTAGGTACAACATTGTACTGAGGTGGCACCATAGACTGTAAAAATAATGGACATAGTTAGTGTGACATCACCCATTGGTTTGTGAACTCCTCGCCTCAAGTTCGGCACTTCGACTGTCGCCATCTTGGTGTTTTGGAGCCAGAAGTGACCATATTTGGGCAAGAGGCTGGCACTATGGAGGAGCAAAGGGGGGATCTGACTGAGGAGCCAAGGACACTATCGGCAGACAGACTGCCACTCAAAGCAACCTGCACTTAATTATGCATAACTTTAAGCCTTAATAAAATGTAAACAGGTGAGTTATATAAAAATGCACATTCAGTTGGGCATTTTGACATCAGGTTCTATGCAGATTGACTGGCATTTGGAGCCATCCTCAAACAGCCATTCAAAGATCTGCAGTTTTTGGCACTTCCATGTTCATTTTTCAGCCTCTGAGACCACGGTTTGTGTGATATGGGATATGATACTGTTGTTACACAAGGTGCAGAGCTTTGATTCTCTGCCCGAGCCCAATTTGGCCTGACCTGATCCTTCAGGTTTGGACTGGACTGGGCTGTAATTTTTCAAAATTAAGTTAAGTCAACCCATCCAGACTCATTAATAAGGAGAAATGTTATACAATCTATATTTAATATATATGACAGATTTTTGGCTCTGCCATCTGGTAGGAGAAGGCGCCTGTTGGAGATCGTGTCACAAAAGTCTGTTACTGCACTGAACTTAACGTGACTTAAATTTATATTAGATATTTAATGTGAAGAAATGACAGCGGAAACTTGGTTCTGGACCAAAACTGCTGCCGTGGTACAAGCTCGGGTTGGGCTTGGACAGAAACTACGTATGTGGGTTCATGTAGGGTTCGGCCTGATTTTTCGGGGCTGATCATAGCTCCAGTGTGTTGTTCGTTGTTGTTACAGTACAGTTGTAATGAAGTCTCTGCAGTAAATACAGCTGAACTAAAAATCAGGGGTGTCCATCTCAAAGCCAGGGCAACTGTAGGAGATGATCGATTTTATGTCAGTGTAACTGTCATACACAGTGAGGAGCACAAACACTGCAGTCATTGAAAAACTTTACCGAGAGTAAGTCAACAATATGATGATTTCATAACTTTCACACTCAGCACGTCTCCTCTAACAGCAAATTAAACACTTTCAACTTGCATCCAAAACTGAGCAGACAAACCACAGGCAACAGCTAAACAAAACATCTCTTCAGCATAAGTGGTGGTAGGATACTGGTATATCCATGCAGGGAAACCATCATGTCGCCTGCTGAGCTGGATGTCCATTACACACAGGCATCATGGTTAAAAACATCAGGTTTCCTTCAAACATGGACGTGGGCAGATGATTAAGAAAGAGTGAAATCTCATCAGCCTGTACGCTTCTTTCATGTCTCAGCGGTTCAGCAGGTTCACACGTTTAATGTGGATGAAAGTGGTTACGAAATGGCAGGCAAACTGTGTTAAAGAGTTGTTGATTTAATTCTAAGGCTGCAAAGTTTCATTTTGTTTTGCCTGACTGTGTATGGGTGCGTCTTTGTCTTTATGTGTGTCTAGAGAGGTTTTAGACCTTCACCTATTTTGCTTTCATTTATTTAGTTGTAGTTAACAGAGGTTGTTTCCGAGGAATACTTTACCCACAAAATGATCACAATTTGTAAAGCAATTAGTCATGCCGTGTTACCTTAAATTTGTGAAGAAAACTTTGTTTTTCTCACATGCCTGCACAGAAAAGACAAACATATCGATTTGCTGATTGAGTGGAGACCGTGTTTGACAACAGCGAAACTACTTCTAAACATTCATTTACGAACTCCCAAACAACTCGTGCAGTCGTACATCCAGTACTAAAGTTTTTCAGCAACAATGCATTTCAATCAGGAGAGACAGAAGAATGAAGTAAAGATAATACTTAATACAGAATATGAGTGTACAGATTAACAGATGATTTGTTCTGGTTAACATTTAACAGAAGTCTCTGGCGCTTGGACACCAGAGGGAGATATTTTGTGATTGAGGCACATCTGAGCAATAGCAAGATAAATCCCCCCACGGAGTCCGGACACTAGTGGTGGTGGTGGTGGCTGATGACTCTGAGGCTGATGAGGCTGATGAATCCGTAAAGACTAGGTGGTGATGGGGAGGTGGAGGGGGCGTTAAGACTGCAGAGAAAGTACCATATTTAAAATAAGGACCAGCAAGATTATGAGCTGATAGAGAAGGTGTGTCGCTGTGCTATTGGTTGTTTGTGAATCAACTGAAAACAGCTGATGATCCAATTTACCTACCCAGACAATGACACCGAGAGATAGTGGGTGAGCATGCGCACAAAGAGTGCATGGCAGGTTGAGAAAGAAACTTACAGCCTGAGCATGAAGAGTATTGTCTTCCTGACTGAACTGTTTTCTAGAGCTTCATGTGTTTGGAAAATACTGAGCACATGACTGGATAAATGAGACTTTATTTTACTACACAAGTTATATGAGAGAGTTTGTTAACCAATCTGGCCTCACTCCGAAATTATTGAAATCTGGCTCTTGGGGAGTGATTTTCTGTGCCAGACACTGACGAAAAAAGCTCCTTTAACGTCGGCATGATACGTGGCTGGTTGCTGTTATAGTTTAATGGCACTTGGCAATGTCAGGGGGAAACTTCGGGTCCATGTCATTGGTCCAACAGCCCATTGGTCCGACATCCCATTAGTCCGACAGTCCGCGGTGCTGAACGGCTCCCGGCGGGCATACTTCTGCCTTGATGGTGCGCTGCGACCGGCTCTGGGTCAGCTGGGAAAGGCTTGAGGCAGAGCAGGCTCACAGCTTGTGTGTGTCACTTTCTTTTTCATTTTAACCCACACCATGATCTTTTCCTGACCCTAACCAAGTGGTTTTTGTGCCTAAACCTAACCAGACCTTAACCACAGGGCATCATGATGATTTCGGAACGGACTTCGGAACAATGGGTTTAATATGGTCGGAACAATGGGATGTTGGACCAATGGGCTGTCGGACCAATGGGCAGTTCCCGAAACTTCAGGGGACTTTCGGATCTTCTTTTTTCCGAATCCTAACCACATGCTTTTGTTGCCTAAACCTAACCACGTGCGTTAGGTGTTGAAGGGAAAAAAAAACATCAGTTCACTTATGTTCACTTACCATAATGAGTTTATTTTGAAAGAGACTGTATGTAAACGTTAAATTTCCTGTGAAAAAGCAAGTGTATTTTGAAAGAAGAAAATGCACGTAACAGGCAGAACGTAACGATCTGGGAGCTGTAAACTAAACTGCCCACACGGGATAGATAAAGTTTTCTGAACTGAACTGAACTGAACTAACACGGCATCCCAGAGTGTCAACTACCAACACAACAGGGGCACCTTTCACGTCGTATCTAGACGTGGAAGGTCCATGACCAAACGTCGATTTGTGACGAGGTTGGGGTGAAAATGTGTTGCATGAACAGATGTTTGGAAGTAGATTTGCTGTTGTTAAATGTGGTCCCCAATCAGTCAATCAATCAATAATTCAATATCTTTGCCTTTTTCGTTCAGCCATGTGAGAAAGACAAAATTTTCTTCACGGATTTAAGGTAACACGGTATAACGAACTGATTTACAAATGGTCACCTTGTGGCTGAAGTAATCCTTTAAATGAGTAGTTCCATACAGCTGAGCATTAAGTCCTACGTATTTGGGCTTTGAGCAGAAGTGGCAGTTAATTAGCTGTAATTACAACTTCGATGTTGACATGAACGGCATTTACAAGTCAGAAACTGGTCGTTACGGTAACTTCGATATGACATGAGTGGGGTGTAATATTGTTTTGAAAGCTCTGTACTGAATGTTAGACCTTTCAAACAAGCACACTCTGCTAATCGGCAAACAATAGAGCTCACCTGTCTCACTGCCTTTGTTTTCCCATCCCTTATATACACTGCTCTCTGGTTATATTTATCCCTGTCACAATAATGTTAAACATACTGTAGAGGGAAATGTTTCTGTAAATGTTTTTCTTCACAGTGTCCACAGAGGTTTGCGTGCTGACGTTGATCATATTGAAGTGTAGACGGTGCCTGTACAGTGAAAGAGAAAAACAGCTGATGGACAGCTCAGACAGCTTAGAAGTGTTTGTTTTGTCTCCCTTGGCAAAGCAGAGAGAATCCATAAGATGATTTTTTGCTTTGTTCGTCACTCTTGGCTCTGTCTTTTGCACTTTTCTCTCTGTCTGCAATAATTGCACCACTGACTTCACTTGTTCTTTTCTCTTTGTCTGTTGTTTGTTTTGTGCCCTCTGCAGGTCTGTTTTCTTGGGGAAGTTCATGGTTCGACAGTCCCTCGAGGGAAAACTCGAGTGAAGAATCACCCACTCGTCTCGCTTCTACTTTGGCCGCCTCCAGTAGCGCTATGACTACAGAGAGCACCAAGCGCTTGGTGGAGACTTCAGAGATGCACACATCCACCGCTTCCAGCTCTGCACCTGGAAACACCTCATCCAGTGGGGAGACCTGGGTCCGTGTTGAATCAGAGACCACAACCCAGTCGGGTGATAAGAGGGAGGAGACAGTGACCTCCAGAGGCAGCGGTAGAGGAGGCAGAGGAAGGGGGAAGAAGAACAGAGGGGAGGACAGGAGCAGAGGAGAGGAAAAGAGTAGAGGAGAGGAGAAGGGGAAAGGAGAAGATGAGGGGAGCGGAGAAATCACTGGTGTGGAAGCAAAAGGGGAGATACAAGTTTCACGTCGACCAGTTGGGACAAGCAAACCAAGAGAACGATCCAGAGAAAGATCTAGAGAGAGGGGTCACAGGAGGGGACAGTCCACCACGACCACGACTACCACTGCCACTTCTAGTCCTCTGGAACTCACAGTGATGACCACAACTGCGTCAGAAAGCACTGACTTATCCACATCTGAATCCCCATCCACCTCACCAGTAGAAACCCCATCGCCATCAAGCTCACCGGAGTCCCTCCCCTCATCTCCAGCACCATCGCCATCTGCTACTGCGTCCCCATTGCCTTCCTCTTCTCAACCAACCCCATCTCAGTCCGTGTTTAAACCCGACTCTCCCTCCTCATCCTCCTCCTCCCCATCGTCAACCACTTCCTCCCCTCCATCCAATTCCCAAACCCCATCCCTGTCAACCTCGCCATCATCACCCCATTCCCCATTTCAGAGTGCTGGATCAGGAGACCCAGCTCCATCTTCTCACTCAGACAACCGGGGCAGCTCCACTAACCCCCTAACATCGCCTCACTGGGTCCCAGTGGAGAAGGCAGTTGTGAACAGCTCTCTGGATTATCCTCCATTACAGTCAGGACCCTCAGAGCTGGAGGAGCCTGCTTGGTCTCATGCTGTGGGGTCAGGAGCTCTGTTACCTGGCAACATTGAAGAGGAGAGCAACAGAGGGGGAGTCAACATCAGTACCATGACAGGTTAGCATTGTATGCCTGTTCCAGAGGTTTTATTGTTCTGTTGTGAAGCTTTTCTTTATTTGATAAGTGCGTCCATGTATTTGTGTATTCATTGTAATTAAGTGATATTATCTACAAAAAGCACTTTTTTGATTTGATAGCCTTGGCGGATCATTCTCATTTATTACAATTTGGGTCTTATTTTTGTTGTTTTGGCCATCATTTCTATTGGCAGTAATAAGAATGTGTGAACCTCACTGCTTCACTGTGAGGACTCAAGCTGGCTGTTGATGATCGAAAGTACCATATCACAGGCAACTGGACTTGCTTGAGTTTCTTGAAGACATTTCACCTCTAATCGAAGAGGCGTCTTCAGTTCTGAACTGAAGAAACCCCTGACTTGGCTGACTGAGAATCTTTACCAACATCTACAGTAGCTGTTGATGGTGAAAATACTTCAAAATCAGAAGCTGGCTGCTTGTTAAAGTAAAAGTTTGACATTAGGATAACAGATGACAGGAACAAATTTACCTACCAGGCGTCCAACTGAGGCTCCAGAAGGCTCTCCTGGCCAAGAAATCATTGGGCATGTAACCCCACTAAAGCCCCTTTATACCCACTAACATCTGGCTTTTGTCTTGAGTGGGAAAGGTTGGCATTTATTCCTGGGACAAATGACAAATGATGGCAGTATTTATGGGAATTTAATGGCTCCAGCTCTGATCTGCAGTCATGAAAACATCACAGTTGGGTCAGCACGATAATTTTCGCCCCTTTTCCACCATGACTGTTGTTAACTTCTGCAACTCTCATCCGCATGTCTGTCTCCATCCAAGCAGTGCTCAAACTTTGTTCCATATTAGTCAGCATCCAGTTTAAAGGGAGACTGAGTGAGTAACCATTTTCCCAAACCCCCATACTGCTTTCTGCTGTTTACTAATTCCAGCACGTTTGTGATGTTGAACCTGACACACCAGAAACAGAAAGACAGGCATACCTGTCTACTGGCAGTGGGAAAGTAGACTATCACCCATTTTGAGCAGGTTTCCCCACATTTAGAAAACCTGCATATACATGCTAATTTGGGTGGAAAAAGGGTACAAGTAATAATATGATGAGTAATTTAACAATTGCTTCTGCTGTTAAGTAATTCAGATAACTTTCCCTGCCCAGTCTAAAGGCCTTTACCGGCCATGTCTCATTCTGAAGTCATCAAATACTGCCACTGTCAGTGATTTCGGTGCCAGACTGCAATGCCAAAAGCCACCTTCTGCAGCAGTATGATGCACTCACAGGTGGAAACAACACAATGCATTTAACAGGCCTAAATTGACACATCGTCCTAGACTGTCAACAACAAATGCAAGATGATACCTAGTGCTTAATATGTAGACATGAACGGTGCTGACCAAGTGGCGATGTGTGATGTCAGGATGAGAATGGGTTGCCTTTACACAGGGCATTTTTTTATGCGATCAATGTGCACATCAGTGTATTTTTTCGCATTGTTTTTGTCATTTCATACAGAATATTATGCAGTGAAAAAACAACTTTTTTTCCGGAATGAGTTATCAAAAAAGGCATCAACCAATCAAGTTGTGCAGAACGGAAATCACAATTTCATGACAATGGCGGACCCATTGAACTGATGCAATTTCCCATCGCTGCCAGTGTGAATAATTTTGATATGAAATATTAGTTATTTTGGTCTGTAAAGGCCTTAAGTCTGATAGACTGACTGCATGTCTCAGGAATTACTTCATAGATACGCTGTTACCATACCAATAAGAACAAAGGCAGATGAAAATAAGACCCAAGTTGTAAATAAATAGAACTATCCTTTAAGGTTGCCTTTTCATTTCCTACCCTGACCTTGCCACCGGCTTATTTATTCAAAAACCTCAGTGTGTATTCCCTCGGCTACACACCTTTTATTCCCACCAGGAGCAGAGACCACATTCCCGCCACCATGCACAATCTGTTGATTAAGTCTGCAGCACGGTAAATCTCAGTGAAGCTCCTGGCTGGCCACCTGGTTTACTTATTTTTCGCTTGATAATGAGAGCTCATACAGGGAACATCCTATCACCCCGGCGTTTGAAAGCCCCGCGGGCATCACGCTATCACACATTTCTATGGTGATTTATTTTGCTACCTTTGAAAGCCGCTCATGTCTGCGGCAGACATGGCTGAGCTGCCTGCTCGGGGTGTGAGGAGTCTGCGGATGGAAAACAGCTGTAAACTGTATTGACAAGAAGCCGAGGGCAACCATCTGGGCTTCTGGTGTACAGTACGAGGGTTGATTGATTGACTGACACCCTGGAGTCATGCAGGCAGAAGGCCATAAACACACAAACACACTGTGATATCTTTGCTACACAAACAGGAGAGGTGGATGGATGCGCTCGCAGGAGATTGGAGCAGAGTAATGGCTTGCACCTCTCGCTGTCTTTCGTGCACACACTCTCGTCTCCAGTTCAGTCCCTTGTGGTTTGGTTTCATGGTGGTGGTCAGTGTTTTCTCTCCTGACTGGATCACGGAGCACTTCATCAGTCAGTTCAATCAATGTGAGAGGAGAGAAAAAAGAGGAGCCTCAGGTTAGATTCAGCGACCTTCAGTAGCAAAGCACATTATTCTCACACAGGAGGATTCAGCACACGATGCCATCAACTTTCATTCCATTGTCTGATCTGTTTAAACAGATTTTTATCACACCATCTTTCCGTAACATTTAAATTGCAGCCGATTTCTTTGTTTCCACCTTCTTCTCCGTGCTCATCTGCCCTCTTAGAAATGTCAATGCTGCCTCTGAGGTCTAAAGCGCTTATCCCAAAAAAAAAAATCATATTTCCAAAGTAAATCGTATTTCCACCGTGGCTGTTATTACTCAAAGCAATGTGTGATGTGTGGATTAATACTCTGAGGTATCACAGCGTTGTCGCTGCCACGTATTATCAGTTCACTGTCCTGTTTCTGTAAACTTATTAGTTGGATTTTGCTGTTGCCAGCTTATTGTTGTTGTTTGTGCCGGTGGTGTCGGCCGCTGTGCAGAGCGAGGGACAGTCCACTCTGTCAGCTCCTTCTACAGACTATTGATTTTTCTGCACCGTTCACTTTAATGAACGGCCGATCGCACAGGGTTTATCTTTCACACACATATGGGCACACACACACACATGCTGTAGTAAATCTGCTTGTCATAACTGTTGGTATTTGTCAAGGCGTGCCATGACCTTGACTGATGCAGAGGGTGCAAGTGCACTTCGGCCCGGACTGATATACATTAAATGAAACGCATGGCTGGTTTTAGCACCTGACTTCAGCAGAATTCAAACCGTGAGCAGAGGATTAGCTCACAAAACTTAACATAAATCTGCGGAGCTGACGCTATTGAGAAATCTGGCTCTTGTGATTGAAAACCCTCAGTCTTTTATTTTTTGATCCTTGAACATTTATTTTGCCCAATGCAGCAGCCAGCATCATGATGATTCAGAAGATGTGAGTGTGAGATGTCTGCCTCTGGGTAGTTATTGGACGGGATCAGCCTCAAGGCTAATCATAGCTAAGGTATTGATTTTCGCTCATTGTACTGTGTAAACACAAACACACAAACCCACACACACACACACGCTGTCAACCTCACACACCACCCCCTCCTAAGCAGTCCTCAGTGTCAGAGAGAGAGCTGGCAGAACAAAGACTCCCACAGCCGAGCCACGATGAACGAGTGGTGGTTTTCAAAGACCTTAAGTTGCTATAATGAGCGGCTCAGGGGAGAAACACGTGGTGGTGTGTCAATTGATATGGAAATTTCTAATTGTGGAAGGAGACCACACACACGCACACATTTAGGGGGTGAATAGCAGGGCAGAGGCGCTCAGCGGGAGGTCTGCTCATTTCTGTTGAGGGTGGCTAATGTCTGAAGTTCTCACGCTGCCCACTACGCTCGCTGGAGTGAGCCAAGGCCTCGCTTTCCATATGGTAACCATGACAACTGTGGCTGTGAGTGGATGGCGAGGTTGAGGCGCTCTGGCTTCTGATCCCTTTGAAAAGAGACAGAGTGTGAAATGGATATGCGTGTGTTGTAACCGCTGGTTCTGGCTGAGCTGCAATGATGGAAAATTAGGGTGGCATGTTTGTTTCTCTGAGTCATGCCTTTATTTTATTTTTATTCGAAATCAAAGCAGCAGTGAGGGAAATTGTGTTCAAGCCGTCCAACTTTAGAGGATCACCATGGAAATAAATACTTGAAGCTTTATTCAGCCGGTGAGCTTAGATACACCTGTTCTGTCCTCGCCAAAGTAAATCACATTAACAAACAGACAGAGCATTCTCCTTTACAGTTTCACTAATTAACTCCCTTATTTTGAATCCCAAAATCTCCCCTCCACCCCCCAACCGTCTGTCTCTTAGACGAGGTGGAGCCCTGCGTGACAAACCCGTGTCTGCACGGAGGAAAGTGCCTTCCGCAGGGAACGGGCTACAGCTGCTACTGCCCACAAGGATACACTGGGGAGAACTGTGAGATTGGTGAGTGATGCTTACACATACACACACATCCCACACAAGCACACACACACACATGTATCCACACAGCGGCATGATCGTCAGCCCTGCTTTAGTACATATTGACGTAAGGCTTTCCATCGGCCCATTGGCAGGTCAAAGGTGGAGCTGTCCATCATATTGAAGGAGGAGGTGAATGGAGGCTGGGGTCAAAGATTAGGATCAGACCCGCAGAGGAGAGTGATGATATGGCTCCCTCAAGGTCAATCTATCAGAGGATCTTACTTTGTTTTTTTTGTTTTTTTTTTCACAAACAAAATTCCTGTAATGTTAGTGCCATGTAGCCAGTGGTGGGTAGAGTACTGAAAATCTACACTCAAGTAAAAGTGCAATTACTCCTATAAAAATGACAGTGCAAGCTAAAAAGTACATGGTTGATAAAATACAAAATTAAACAAAATAAGACAATCACTCAAAGTGTAAGTTACCAGAGGTGGTAGCAAGAAAGTCTCAAGTCTTTGCACACATGTCCCAAGTCCTAAACTTTGAGTTTCAAGTCCTTAACTACTCAGAATGCACATTTCACCATATGTAGTAATATATAAGATTTAAAAAATCATAAATACTTTTTAAAATTGGTATTCATTTGGTAAAATAAGTGTGTTGGAAGTTGTTGTGTCTCCGTATAGAGAAAAAAAAAAAAATATATACTTTGGTATATTTTTTTTCCAGCTGGCATTCGACATTAGTTTTCCATTACTCTCTCCTGCAGCTTGACAGGATCGGTTGAAACATATTTGATCGATGGAATTAAGTGTCTGCTGGGAAAAACAGCGTCAATGTTAGTTGCCAAAGGAAAAGAAAGTAAATGGTAAAAAGACTTGCACAGTTCCTTTCTAGTCTTCCGACTGCTCAAAGCGCTTTTTACACTACGAGTCACATTCACCCATTTACACACACATTCATACACTGGTGGCCGAGGCTACTGTCTTTAACACACTCACACACAGATGGAACAGCCACCAAGAGCAAATTGGGGTTCAGTATCTTGCTCAAGGATGCTTCAACATGTGGGCCGGAGGGGCCAGGGATCAGACCACTGATCTTCTAATAAGTGGATGACCCACTCTACCTCTGAGCCACAGGTGCCCTGAAAGGATATTAGTTAATTTGTGGCACATCTTCGGGCTGGGGGGAAGGTATCAAGTATTTTCAAGTCAAAAGGTTCAAGTCCAAGTAAAGTAATGAGTCACTGGTGTTAAAGTCCAGGTGAAATTGCAAGTCTTTTTAATTCTGTTGTGTCTAAAGCCATCAAATTTGTGAGCCTGATTTGAATGCAATCATGTAACTCAGGTCCACAGTGCTGTGAGTTTCTTTATATTGCAAAATAATAGACAAAAAAACAGCACCCCTCTCTTACTCATCATAACAAAGCTAACATTAGCTATTATTTACTACATTTACCTACAGTATGTGCAGCTTACTTCAATGAGCTTGCGAAGGTATAAAGAGGATTTTTGAAAAGCGGAGATTTCAGTGTTCTTCGGGAGGCACAGCGAGCACATCATGTACTGCAGGTGTTGTCTTTTTCAGATTTTGGCTTAAAAAAACGTGGCCAGATGTGGTTGGGCATTGTGGCTGAAAGCCGCCTCTTGTTCTGGGTTTTGCTCCGTCATCCTGGCGTTGTGGTCAGAAGACAGGTGGTGCTTTTCTTCCAGGCAGCTGGCAACTTGGCATCTGCAGTAGAGGTCCTTCTCACGTGTTCTCCCCCCTACACTCAGTCCCCATATTCAGAGCAGATTACTTGTAACACAGGCAGGAATGGCAAGTAAAGAGTAGAAGTACAGTAAAAAAAAAAAAAAAGGTGTTAATAAAAATGATGACATTACACATGCAGTACCCTGCATGTAGTGAATTAAAAAAAGATCTGCTTGAATTTTTAAGCTGAATTCATTTCTTGTTCCTGCAACAATACCTGAAGGGTTGAGAACCAACTGAAGGCCTCTCAAAGTTTTGTCATCGGCTAAAAAAATCATTTAATGGCGGAAATCCCAGATTCCGATCAGCACCAAAAAACAAATCAATTGCTCCTCACCCGAAGGGCTCTTCACCCAGCAAGCTTCACAGTAAATCCATTCATAGACCCTGATGATCTGCTGCTGACAGAGGGAGCAACCAACAGCAGAGAAGACGTAACCTTCTTGTGCAGCTATAAAGACAGCAGAGCGGTGCTGATCACTGTTGTGTGTGATGACACCTGTAGAGATTAGATACATTTCACTGCAGGAGGTCAGGGCCAACAGGCTGCCATGTTTCACAGAGCCAGTTGTGACCTGCATGAGCTGCAAGACAAAGAGGGAGTGACAGTATCTAGATTCAGAATCTTCCTTCCTGAATACTTCTTTATCTACGTGCAATTTCCTCTCTTTGTCTCCCTCTTTCTTCATGCTGATTGCTCTTTTGTTTTTCCTATCTGTTCAGCTGTAGCATGGTAAGGACAGGTCTGAATTATGCGTCTGCATAGAGGCGGAACTATATTATGCTGTAGTGGTATCACAGAGCCAGATGTGATCCTGTTTCTTCAAGGTGAGAATAAACATTTGTAGATAACCAGCAGACACTGTGGTTATCAGGCTGATGCCACTCATGCTGTCTGTAATCAATAGCTTCATGCAGCATGTAAACAAAATAATATGTGTATCAACAGCACTGTAAACAACACAGACTGATAAACTCGTTTAACATGGCTTACTCTACTGTCTATGACAACACATGAAATCTGTAAAAAGCATCTCAGCTACCTGCTGCAGTTCGATGTTTGATCACTGATGATGGTGACTCAGTGTCATACCTGCTGCCTCATGAGCTGCTTGTACTTCTATTTTTTCATTTTTGCCTTTTATTAGATAGTTATTAATGTAGAGCCATACAGGAAATGAGGGAAGAGAGAGTCTGGTATGACAAACACCAAAGGTCCTTGGCCAGAATTGAATAGCAGGCGTTGGCGTTTCTATGATTTGCACCTTAACCATTCAGCTACCACCAGTGAACCCACTACGCTCAGCCTGAGTGCCACAAATTCTACTGCTCACATAACTCCACCCACAGACTGTCAAGCTGTTCCCATTGCAGTTTTATTTGCAGTTTGTTAAAATGACTGAGCCTGATCTACACACACACGCACACACACACTCAGGTGTTTTCGCTCACTTCTCCTGATAAGACTTCTTCTCAGGTTATGCTTCATTGGCCTTTTTCAATGAAGACATTGTTGATTTTTATTTTCAAAATGTCTGCTGTGAAAAAAAGACCAATTGACCTAACACTTTTTTCTGCTATTGCACCTGTTTGGGTGGTAAAACTTACAACTTTAACGTCAGTCACAAGTTAGGGAATGCAGAACCATCGCCTGCCGAGAAAATGTTTATGCTGGACTCCTGGATGTGACATACATGGAAAGCTAGCATGCTAGCTTAGGGTGACCATATTTTGATTTCCAAAAAAGAAGACATTCGGCCGGCCGCGACATAGCCTACTTAAATGATACTCGCAGCTTACTCAAAGATGGCTTATCATTTTGATATATTTAAAATTTATATGTATGGATAGAAAATTCAGTTATATTACAAAATAATATCTCTCAAAGACAGAAATTCAGATAGGCCCCTATAGGGGACACATACACACACTAGAGTGTGGCGATCTGAGCCCGATGGTACCCGACGGGTCGGGCCGGGTTTGGTCAAAAATGTAGCTATAAATTGTATTCGGGCTCGGGTCGGATTCGGTCAGCTTTCAGTGAAAATGTAGTGTAAAAATAAATAAAATCCTATTGTCTGTTCTGTTTATTGCTTGGGCACTGTTATTTACATGACAACACCTGAACATAACACACACAGACACACATTGGCTGTTTGTTTCTACCTCTCCCCTCTCTGGAAGTCTCAGACCTCCAGCCGCCCGCCTCCGCCTTGTTTAAACGCTGAAAATAAAATAAAAGAGGGAGACAGGTTTTTCCTGTTTTATCTTATTTTGTTTTATTTCTCCCTCTCCTCTCGCTGGAAGCGTCGGACCTCCCGCCGCCCGTTCCCGGCCTGTTAAATAGCCTGTAACCGTAACAACTGCGTGACACAAACTCAGTGCTTTGGTCATTAAATAATGTCGGGCTCGGTTCAGGTTCGGACAGAAATATGCGGCCCGTGCCGCACTCTAACACACACACACACAAACACACGGAAAACCGGACATTATCATCAGTTTATAAAAGACCCCCGGACGCCCCGGACGCCCCGGATGGGACGTGAAAAGTGGACATGTCCGGGCAAAACAGGACGTTTGGTCAGCCTATGCTAGCTAACAAATAAATGCTAGCCAGCTTGCTAATAAAAACAGTGAAATAATATGTTACTGGTACATTTTCCAGTTTGTCCTTTTGTTCTCTGCCTCTGTGCAAACTGTTTGTATTTTTGGTGGTCAATATCATAAAATACTGGCTGGTTAGACGCGGCAACGATCGATGTCTCCTCATCTTAGCTCACTCCAAAAACAACAGCCAGTTAAAGTCAAACAGGGTCAACCAAATATATAATACTGCTTTGTTATGCCTCCACGTCTTTAGCCTTAGACGTTATGTTTTGAGGTTGTTCATCCATCTGTATGATTCTCATGAACGCAATATCTCAAAAATGCCTTGAAGGAATTTCCTCTAATTTGGCAGAAATGTCTCCTTGGACTTAAGGATTTCTTACACTAATTACGACAAAATTTCACACAAATGTCCAACAGGATTTAATGATGAAGTGACGATATTTTAATACAGAAGGTCAAAGGTCAACTTCACTGAGACATCACAATGTTCTGTGATAACATCACACTTTTCTGTCCATTATTCAACGTCATAACTCAGGAACAGAAGGGGAGACATTTGGTCAGATGCTGAATTGGTGAATCTTGGTTGCCCACCTTGAAACTGATTGTATAGATTTTCTGTGCTGGTGGGAGGAAGATGTGTGGGAGGCATTTATGTTTTTACGCTGGTGCAATTCACCAAACTTTAACTGCACATGATGTGAAGAAGCAAATTTACTTTGCCACTGAAAGTGAATGTTTTATTTGCCCAGTCGCTCGCATTGAATGGAAGTGAATGGGCGGCGAATATTCGCACATGTTGAATTTGCACGTGTGTGACTGTACCCCTATTGGTACATGCAGTTTGGTAATATAATGTACTGTACTTGTGCAGCTCTGCCCAACTATAACTTGAGCAGAGGTTGCATTGAAATAAAAATACCTTTGCAGGTGTGCAGGGGCTTTAAGTCCCTGGACTGGTATAAAAATGTCTAATTTGATGTAATGGTTAATTGTATTGGGTCATATTTAAATCCCTATTTAATTCATACAGTGTATTCTGACAAACACATTAAAGGTCACAATGATAAACTGTGACAGAGATCGCTATCCTCTAAATATCTGTATTTGTAGACCATCACATATGTTGGAATTCAAAGAGCATATCTTTGCACTAATGTAAGGTATACATTGTTTTTCTGGGTTTATACATTATGTACCCATGATTACTTATACTGTGATTAAAGACTTTATCTATTCATATGTATCTCTGATTTTAAAACCAAACCGTGCCTCTAATACAGTGACACTTTTGTAGAGCACACTTGTACTGCAACACCTGCACACAGAGGTGCTGTGACACTTTGACATGAAGGTATTAATCTGCTTTAAGAATCCCAATTTGTTCCTTAACATATGCTCGGCTCATTAGGCTGCCATTCCTGGAGGAAGTGATCACTTTATTAATAAGTGTACAGTAATACACTGGTGAACACCTTAATACTTCCTGAGTGCCAAGTTTTGTGTGTTCAGTGTCACAGAAAGACGGACAGACAGACAAACAGACAATCAAACTGACAGCCAGCAGCTGATGCGTGGGTATGCTGGAGGGCTTAGTTATGGATTTGCAGAATTTGCAGTATTATCTCTCTGAGGAGCAGCTTCCCCTCTGCATAATGGATGAGAGGGACGAGGGGATCAGACTTTTTATGTTGAACAACAAAGAGCTGGACGGATTTTAATGGGGAGAGAGAGATGGTGGTGTGTGTTAAACTATGAGCTTACACATCCAGGGGTCATTGAAGGTCACGCCAGGCATAAGTAGCCAGGGGGTATTTCATGTATATATGACATATTTTAAATCATATGTTTGGTTTGTGGTATTATACAAGCAAAAAACTTCCTAATCACTTTGCAGATAGCCTCCGCACTTTTTGGTGAAACACACTCGTGTGATTTTCAGATTAATTTTCTTTTGCCTTGAACATTTGGAGATAAGGTAACATCACTGTGCCCAAAATTTCATCTCTAATGAATGATTCATGTACAAATCAAATTTAAATCCAGAAAGCTTTGATTCAAGTTATCAGAGTTGTTGTGCAGTGTCACCATAGTTTGGTAAATCTATGAAAAATTAAACTGCACTGTTACTGTATCATTCCTCATAGTGCAAAACTAGGACATTTTCAAATTCTCCACAGAGCGGCTTTAAGTGATTTAAACCAGTGAACCGAGCTGTCAAAGAAGGCTATTTCTTCAATAAGAAAAGTGACATTTGAGAAACTCTGCAGCTACTTATGCTCTTAAATTGCTATTTGATCTTACAGACAAACAACATTGTTTGATGGATCGCACAGCTTTGAGCTTGTTGGAAGAGAAAATGTATTAGCATAAATCTCTGGTTTCACTTCCTATATTTGTCCTCAAAAAACCGCCTCGGCTGCCATTTTTATAAACAGACAGACAGCCTCTGCTGTCAGATTAAAGTTAGATCAAACCTTAAACATTTTGAAGCCACAGCAAAAATGGGACTGATGCAAAAAAAAAAGTCCCACACTACAGCACCACCCTGCAACTTGCTTTATTGATAAACCTCGATTTAGTCCAGAGTAGAAATGAATGTTTGCTTTTGCAGCCACTCCTCAGTCTGTCAAGTGAAACCAAGGTGAGCAGCACTGTCTCCTGAAAATTCTGTTTGTATACAACTAAAGTAAAACAGCAAATACTTTGTGAGGGAAACGCATCAACGTATCTGGCAAGTCGCAAAAATGTTGATACTGAATGTATCTGTAAAATGTTCACTGACTACATATTGTTTTCTGCCAAAATAGGGAAAGCTGCAGCACTGTAAATACACTAACTTTTTTATGAACATTTAACTGAAATCACGATCTTTCTCTTACCTCAACTTTGTTCCTGAAACCTAAGACAACCATCGTCACAATCTCACCCTAACCGTACCCAAAGTGTGTTTGTTGCCAATACCTAAGACAGGTGTCTCGACATGAATCCAAAGTTCTGGAGCCAAGGTCTTTCACTGTGTGCACCCACCATCCTCCCCAACCACCTCCTGGCTGGATCCCACCTATCCCAGCTGACATTGGCCGAGAGGTGTGGTACACCCTGGACAGGTCACTGGACTATCACAGGGCTGACACATGACTGACAACCATTTACACTCACATTCACACCTACGGACAATTTAGAGTCACCAATTAACCTGCATGTCTTTGGACTGTGGGAGGAAGCCGGAGTACCTGGAGAAAACACACACTGACACGGGGAGTAGAAGCAGGCTCCACATGGAGGGGCTCCCCCACCCTGGGAGGAACCCTCTTGCTGTGATCTGACAGTGCTAATCACTGCATCACAGTGCCGCCACAGTTTAACATACAAATAGAACTTCTACTGTAGGAGAAAGGGTTATGTCACAATAATACAATATCCACTTTTCATGGTCAGCAGTGATTCCCCTTTATTCAACGTCATCGAAAAGGTTTCTCTCCTGGTTCCTGCACCTTACTTTGAAATATTTGGAGAATTTCAACCAAAAAATGACTTGGTTCAAAACCCGAAAAGTTTGTTAGCTGTAATGAAAAACAAAAAGCAGATTTTTCTTGACCCGAAATGTGACAACATGTTACATTCAGCGGATTAGAAAGTCATCTACGTGGGGCGTGGGTGGCTTAGTGGTAGAGCAGGCACCCCCATGTACAAGGCTGTTGCCGCAGCGGCCCGGGTTCGACTCCAGCCTGTAGCCCTTTGCTGCATGTCACTCCCTCTCTCTCTCCCCCCTTCACGCTTGTCTGTCCTATACATTAAAGGCTAAAAAGCCTTAATCTTAAAAAAAAAAAAAAAAAAAAAAAAAAAGTCGTCTACGTCTTCTTATCATTAATAGTTGGTCCATGCTTGTTTTTTGATATAAACAAATATCTGGTAATCAGTGCGTTCTGCCATCTTGCACCAAAGTATTTTGAGCATTATACCAGTGGCATAAAATGGTCCTAAAAGGACAATAGCTTTTATCCTAATCATTTTTGGGACACCAAAAGTAGCTATGAGGCCTCGACAACAGTCTGAAATGAACGTTTCGTATGAGGCCAAAGGTCGTTTGAGTTTGATCTGTCCGACACATTTCGCTCTTTACAGCCACTGACCTTTTTCAGTGTTTTCAGCGCTTTGCTTCGAACTAAGTAGCCGTAAAGATTTGAGCAAATAGTTTGAGGTGAGTTTAAACTTAAAAGGAGCTTTCTTTGTGCTCCCTCGCTGTGAGTTTTAATAGATTTCTGCAGTCCTGAGGTATATCTCTTACTCTGGGTCCAGAAACCCCCCACAGTGGTGAAAGAAGATTACATGTCCTCCATTTACAATGATAAAGTGATATTTCATTGATCCCTGTGGAGAAATGTTCCTTTTGCTTGCTTTTTTTCCCCACAGAGAGGTTAGAGAGTACAGCAGCTCAGCAGCCCTGGAGCTGGTAGGGTATCTGTTGTTGCTTAAGGCTTCTTCAGCAGGGTGGACGGCTGCCAAAATGAGGGCTTGAACACAGATCCTCCGGTCAGGTCCATCCTCTCTGCTTACTACTCCACCAAATTTATGTCTATAATTAAACTGCTTTGAAGGAAAAGCAATGCAACGTGCTATTTCTCCCTCATGCAGCCTTTTTGTAAATGGAGACAATGGAAGAGAGACAAAAGAAGAGATTAGACGTATATCAAGCCAACCTTACATTCTGCAAATGCATAGGGAAGGATGTAATAACACTCAGAGGGCTTTTAGCGTGTCTCCCTCAGTGAGAGAATGAGGACAAATAGGGAATGTAAAGGGAATAAGACTGTCTGTATTCTGCTCACACCCTGTTTGAATTACGATACTGTACTCACCAACATGGATGCACATCACTGTGTAAACCAGGACTAATGACCAGCTCATCTTGTGTTCACATTTGAATGGCAGCAGACGCCCACACACTTTCTTTATGAACAACACGTCTTCAGCAGAATGCATCCTTTCAATCTGAACTCTAATGAGATCTGCAACCCTCCTGCTCTTGCTGCCTCTTTTCTTTTTTTTCTCCCTCCTCACAGATGTTGATGACTGCCAGTCCGAGCCATGTGAAAATGGAGGCACTTGCATTGACAAGATTGATTCATTCCTCTGCCTTTGCCTGCCCAGTTATGGAGGAGACACATGTGAGAAAGGTGAGAGCGAGCATACTGCATCAGAGCACCGCTGTGTGTGCAACCACAGCAGTGAACTTGCTAAGGTTCTCGGTCATCTGATACTTGCAGGAAAAGGTTTGTCGCAAGCTGTGCTGTGTGTGGAAATAATAAACAGCTGTATGTCATAACACTGTATCACAGAGATGCATCTCTTGGCAGCTATCAGACACAGTGTATCTGTGTGTGTCACAGGGCTGCAGGGTGACAGATACTGACTGAAACTCCTGCAGGCATGACAATAGACACACTGTTTTCCAAGCATCAGCTTTCAGTCAGCATCTTGCATACAGTGCACGCACACAGGCTCATATGTCCAAGATATGTGTTTGGTGTTATTGTGGTTCAAGAAAATTGCTGTGACTGTATAATGCATTGTACGAAGTTTAAAGGTGCTCTGTGGATTTTTGTTCAGGGTTGGGTGTTGTTTGAGTTTTTTCCTGATGCTGGTGCTAAAACAACACTTTAAAAAGGGTACCAGTGCCACAACAGTGCCTAAGCTGAAAATTTAAACAAAGTAGAGCACAAAATGACGGTGAATTTATTGCAAAAGCAAATTCATCCTTGAAGTTTTATTTATACAGCACTTTCCAAAACTGAAGATAAAAAGTGTTCTGTAGGATACAGAAAATGGGGAAGAGGGAAATAAGACAATACATAAAAACAAGCAGGATTAAAGGGACAACCCACAAAATAAAATGTGTAAAATTAAGACGTCAAGTCAAATAAAGCGTGCTTTGGAGGTGCTGGTTGGCAGATTTTGTGAACGTTGGATTGAGCCAGGCCAGTTGTTTCCCCCTGTTTCCAGTCTTTATGCTAAGCTTCTGTAAGTATATTAAATAAGTGAGTAAATAAAAGTCACAACCAAAGATGGGAGGGCAGAGAAACAAGCCAGGGAAAACACGCAGGCAGATGGCAGTGTTGTTAAATACAGTACAAAATAGTTAAATGGAAGCGATCTGATATCAAAGTCAATCAAATCAGGATTAGCATGAGGTAATCAGAGAGGCCTGCGACAGCAATGGGGCCGGCAGCCCATAATATGCATACATAGCATGAGGCAAAACACAAGTGTGTCTGTTTGGTAGGTGGCGCTTATCACGTCCCATACCACACACTCACACCAACATGCACACAAGCGCTGATTCATCACCTCACTGGTTTCAGCCATCTCCGGCTCCAGATATGTCTTCCTTTTGTGTGTGTGTGTGTGTGTGTCCCTGCCTTGCACTAGTAGTAATGAGAATTAATGAATATCTAACCTTTCCAGTTATAAATGAATCCACAGGCTTTGGTGTTATTAATGAATACTAATAGTGCAGGGAGAGGGCCACATGTGCTGTGAATTGAAAACGAGCCTGTGTAATTACAGTTCATGTATTTAGCTTCTCAAGATGCCAGAGTCATATATTTTAGTCTTTATTTGCCAAATGGGATGCAACGCTCGGTTTAAAAAAAGCTTCCTCTCTCCTCCCATCTTATACAGACCATTTTATCTTACTTGGTGTTCCCGCACTTAACTGCGCTTTCATGTGTCCTTCAAGAAATTATTTCAGCTTCTCTCACTTCCCCTCCTCTTTTCTCTTCATCTTCACAGACGTAGAAGGTTGCGAGCACGGTTGGCGAAAGTTCCACGGCCACTGCTACAGGTAGAAATGATGAAAAACTGTGCTGTTGAAATAAATATATTTACCTGCAACCACAGGTGCCTCATCTCTCTGCATTACTCTTTTATACCCTGGAGTTATGTGTGATATACTCACCGCAGCGCTCTGTACCATTTAAAGTTGTCTTGCTGCGTAATGCATGAAATATGTATTTTTATATCCACTTTCACTGCGCTGTCCCACAGGTACTTCACCCACAGACACACCTGGGAGGACGCAGAGAAAGACTGCAGAGAGCACAGTGCCCACCTCAGTAGCATCATCTCGGCTACTGAGCAGGAGTTTATCAATGGTATGTGTGTATTTCTTTATTAAACAGCCTCCACATAACACACTTGTACAAATATTCACAAAGCAAAACCAGCATAAAAGACACAAATTCAGTCAAGGTTTCTGAATGTAGCCAAATCTTTATCTATTCAAAGCAAAGACAAGGTGTTATACATGAAACTGAGGCAGGAAACAGAATAAAAACTAAGAGTTAATTTACCTTATTTCCATAGTCTTGTGGATTTGTTATTTTACTGTTTGATGCAGGGAAGACAAAGCAAGACGAGGAAGTGAGTCACAAATAACATTATGCATGAATGGAGAGATACAGAAATAGAAGGTGGAATAATGAAGAGGGTGAAGAACAGGTTCAAACAGATTGAGACAAGAGCAAGAACATGTCTTGTTGTTTTTTACAGGTCTTGGTCATGACAACGCCTGGATTGGTCTGAATGACCGCACAGTGGAGGAGGACTTTCAGTGGACTGACAGCAATGATCTGGTCAGTGATCGGTTTTGAATTGAGCCATCAACTCCAGTTACAAAGTCTTGAAGGATTATTTCACCCCCCAACTGAGTATTTGAATATCAGTTGCTCACCACATGTTACACTGAATTCAGGAAGAAACCTTTTCTTGCATACCTCCACAGTGAAAGAAGAATCCAAAAAAGGAGAAAATTGTTGATGAATTGAAGTCATAGGGGGCCGCATTTAAAGCAAGACTCCATTGACAAAAACAATCATTTTAACTCACAGAACACGGGAGCTGGTGGTCTACGGCTGCCTCGATTATTGTGTGACCTTGATAAATCTAAATCAGTGGTTCCCAACTGGTGGGCCGCAGTCCAAAAGTGGGTCATGGGTCCATTCTGAATGGACTGCAAGTGACTCACGAATATGTCAAGTTTGAAATACAATGAATTTTTGGTGCATAGCTTTAATTTTGAAGTGCCATTTCCTGCTGTAGAGTGAGTGACTAAAAGACAGCTACTTGACAGAGGCACCAAACTAGCTAACGGTGACATGGCCAAATGCAAGTAAGACGCTGAATATATTAAACTGCGTGGACATTGGACTAATGACTAAGGAGAAATCCGGATCCTGTGACTGGACCAGTTGGGAACCACTGATCTAAATTATCCCTTTAAAACACTTTGGTCACATAATAACTCAAACAAACTAACTGATCGGGCATTCGTAGACCAGCAGCTCCTGTGTTCAGCGATGTAAAATTGCAGTTTTTGTCAACGGAGTCTGGCTTTGAAGAGTTTTAGATAGTGAGGTTTTAGCAAAAATGCATCTGTTTGAGTAGTACTGAGCATAAGACTGGATAAATGAGACTTGGATTGTACTGCACGAGTTGTGTGAGAATTTGTAAAAGGCTGTTTCGATATATTTTTGCTGTTGTTAAACGCGAACCCCTATGACTTCAATTTATCAAGGATTTTCTGTTTTGGATTCTTCGTTCACTGTGGAGGCATGCAAGAAAATCAGAGTTTGTAAGTTTCTGTTGATTACCTTAATGACTAAATTAGTAATAATCAAAGCTAAAGTATTGAGAAAAAAACATCCTTAGTTATAATTATTATTGATTAAATTATAACACTCAAGAATGATTGATCGGATTTGATAGACAGCCTTCCAACATCAGCAGACAACCCCACAACTGGCACCAGATTTGTGACTAAAATGTTGCTAAATCCTGAGCTGGGCAGAAGTACTTCAAACCAGTGAGAAGAGCACATAGAAAAACACAAATTAAGACTCTCTTGTGGAATAGCCAAAACTGCTCTTACATTGGCACAAAGTTTTGTATTCACAGAGGACCCAATTGCTCATAGTAAGAAACCGAAAGAGAAAATTTGTTTTCAAGGCCTTCAAAGCTTTTCATTTTTAGCATTTTCATTTAAGCTCTGTCCCCATTTATGTGCAAGATCTCATGTGTCATATTTCCTCTTAAAATGTTCATCTCTGCTTTAAACAAGATTGGAACCTCCCAGTCTGATGGTGCTGACAAATGAAAGCAACTGAATTCTGTTGTTTTCCTGTCGTGCAGGTATATGAGAACTGGAGGGAGAGCCAGCCGGATAACTTCTTTGCGGGTGGGGAGGACTGTGTGGTGACCATTGCCCATGAGGACGGCAAGTGGAACGACGTGCCCTGCAACTACAACCTGCCCTACATCTGCAAGAAAGGCACAGGTACTGAAATACTGCCGGACTCAGTGTAACCAAACAGCACACCAAAAGCTTGTTTGACACGTTCAGGTCAAGTGTGACTTTGTCAGAAAATCAAAGCCCAATCAATTCACGAGGAAAGATTTTTTTTTGCTGTCCTTATACAATGTGGTTGCGTGTGTGTTATTTCTGACCAGCTGGCCACCTGTTAGTCATCACTGCTCATCATCAGTTTTTGTGCTCTTAATGCAGAAAAGATTGGTCAGACTTCAGTAGTCGTTTCATATCACTTGCACCCTTTCTGCATTACAGAAGTATTTCACTGCTAGAAACAGTTTTCATAAAACTGGGCTGTCTATGCAGCAGAAGGACACAAATACTTATGAAACTGGTGCTACATGACCAGAGAAAACAGAGAAAAGGGCTGTGGCAGCCGCTTCTGTTCAAGAGGTAGAAAACCTGCAGCTACCAGAATGCACTGTGCTGCACTGAACCAATATGCTGGTGGGTGACATAATGCCATTTGGTTTTGGCTTGTCCGAAAAACAATATGGCAGCCAGCTGGTAACAAATAATCTTATATTAAAGTTAAAGAGTAAGCTAAAATGTGTTTCTGAAAATATTTAGGTGAGAAAACACCTTAAGAGGTCATACACATGATTGCCAGCTTTCAAGAGCGCAGCAGCAGGTTGCATCTGAGGTTGCTAAGCAACCTTAACAAGCACCATATCATAGCCTATTTACCTGAAATCCTGAGTGCAGAGCTGATCTTCCTCCAGGCGCTGTTAATTAGTGTGTAGTCATATCATCCGAGGTACAGATGAAAAGCTCTGAGAACTCTGCATCAAAATGATCAACATTTTCATATTTACCACAGACTGAATATTTACAGAAGAAGGGAAAGATATCTGGCTGTGATTGGTTGTTTCTCATCACATGACATGCAGTGTGTGCTGCTGTGTTCCAAAAGTTGAACTCTGTTTATCTCAGGGCGCAGCCATCGCACCCTGAGAAACAGGCACTCTCCCCTAAAAGAATCTTGCTTTATATTTGATCAGTGCTGGCTAGTTTCAGTGTTCGACCTCATTTTTTTCAGCCTCCACTTTTACAGTATGGTGCCCACTTCCTGTTCACAGATTCTCATAATACAGCTAAACAGTGCACTAACATGTGTTTCTGAAAACAATTTAGATAAGAAATAGGCAATATAGTTACAGGATCTTGGTTTATGTTTGATCAGTGCTGCCTAGTCTTACAGTTAGATCTGAGTTTGAGAGAGACAGAGGGGGATGGCTCTCTCTCAATCTGCTTCTATACTCTTTGTGTCTGTGGTGGTGGCAGGCATACATGAAACAGCCCTAAACAACCCTAGAGCCAGCTAAAATCTGCCAGATGACGCAGGGAGATCTGGGCCTTGGCAAGATGGAGGGAAGTTTACCCTAGTTCATTTCAACATACTACCCACATTGGTATGATACAAAGCTGGTTGAAAATCGGCAAGATATCTCTTTAAAGGCCACAGCTGCAGATGCTCCAAAAAAAAGAAAAAAAAGAAAAAGATGACGAACACAATCTTAAGTGAAGATTGTGATTCAGTCTCAAACCTGTATTGATTTCTGAGAGCAATATCAATCTCAATCTTCCTCTTATTGCCGTCTCCCTCCTCGGGGCTCACTTACACTTGTCCAGACAGCAGAAGCGTTAGTTGCAGTTATTGCCAATTACCGTCTTGTTCACAAATATGATCTGAAATTCCTCTCCTAACACTTTCCCACACCTTCCCTCTGTGACCCGACTCAGACAGCCTCAGTGTGAGTCCAGTGAGCTCGTAGGATGCAAAGAAAAGCTAAAGACCAGGTTCACTGCAGAGATGGAGGATGGTCAGGAGGAGTTAGAATAGGATGGATAAAGATGGAAGAGGACATGGAGAAAAGGATTAAGTAGTTTAAGAGTGTTTGTTTGTCTGGCTGTGGGCTCGTGGCTCTGTGGTTTGGCTGTACTCCCTGTCTACTGCAGAGACCCATTACCTCCTTCTGGCCTCAGCACAGCTATGCTCAACATTCAGACACAGCAACAAGGCTGCCATCTACAGGTCAAACACATCCACAATATTGTGCCTTGAAAATTTAATTTGGTCAGAACGGAGCAATATGGACAGCGTACAAATATTTGTCTCTTTTGCTGTAGTCTATTTATATAATAGATGCATAATAAGTGGACGCTATGATACAGGGATTTTCAATACTGAGGGTCATACAAATTTTAGATTTTTGACATCATAAACATCTCAGGATTTATGTGAGATAGAAGCTGAATATATACCAATGTTCATCTGTATGATTTATACAGTTTGATCTGATGATTTTCTGCAGTGTTGTGTGGGACCCCGCCCGCAGTGGAGAACGCCCATTTGATAGGTCGGCGGAGATCTCACTATGACATCCATGCAGTGGTACGCTACCAGTGCTCTGAGGGCTTCTTTCAGCGCCACATCCCCACTGCTCGCTGCCGGGCTGACGGGAGCTGGGAGAGACCCAGGATCATCTGCACAAAGTGTGAGTGTTAAGTGTCTATTTTGATCCTTTGTCATGTGTCATGCATGTAAACGCTCTTTTCTACAAAGTGGTTGGAGGTTATCAGTATTCATTTTTTAATCAGTTGTAATCAGTTAATTGCTCATCTGATAACCTTTTAAACCCTTTGCAAAGTTGTCATTGTAAATAATTTGTTTATGTTGGCTTTGTGGTTACATGTAGCCCCATCACTTTAGGTGTTATGATGCTCATATTCAGAGCAGTGTACAATACAGTTAGCGTAGCAGTAGAATATGATTCATTCCTTTTAATCACTGAAATTAGAATTAACTCAACTCACTTGTCACTACATACTGGCCACAATTCTTTATAAATGTTATAAAAAAGATTTAAAGGGTAACTTAGTATTTTTCAAAGTGGCCCCTATATACATGTTTTTGTGTCTAAGTGACTATTGGAGACAACGATTTTTTAAATTGGTCCAATCTGGACAAGTGAAACAGGCTGCAGTGTATCCACTCGGGGCATTTGTGCATTGGCTTTTACGTCCACTAAAAGTTTTTGCCATTGACAGGATCAGATTATTATTATAAGTGTCTGACACCATTATGGAAAGGACCCTACAGAGATAGATCTTTTATTAAAAGTAAGATTGCGTCTTTTCAGCTGGGAAACAGCCCCAAAATCAAACCCACCAGACTCCATTTAAATAAACAGGAATTTTAGCTTATATAGAACCAGCATGATTTCACATTTGACTGGGCGAATTTAAGATTTATTTTAACCAAACTAGAGTTGGTGATTGTTGGAACAATGGAAATACAAACCAAGATGGTTCGGTGAGTTTTATTTTGTTTCTTTTGAGGTTGAATGAAGTGAGTTTTGTGATGATAAAATTACTGTTTATTTACATGGAGTCTGGTGGGTTTGACGATGGCGAATTCGCGGCACTTTCTAGTTAGACGAAAAGGATCATACTCTTTAACAAGACATCTATCTCTGTGGGGTCCTTTCCATAATATTGTCACATACTTAAAATAATCATCTGAGCCTGTCAGCAGCAAAAACAAGCACTTGAAGTGGATGTAAACTGACAGTGCACATTTGAATTTATTGAAAGGATAACCCCTTGAAATGTAGCATCTCATTTCCAAGGACAGACACAAAAACATACAGACAAAACTGCATTACATCACAAACATACACTACAAATACAGACATCTTGCTCACCATCTTCCACCCACACCCCCTGCCCTCAGCTGGTGTACATAAAATTAGAATTGGACATCATGACCTCTAATAGTTACATAGCAGTTTTCAGTATGACATTTTAAAAACATGAACAGGTTGTTTTGAGATATGAATATAAGGAAGTCCTGAGGCAGCGGAAAGAGGTAACAGATCTGAAGAAAAGAAGATTATTAAACCAGTCAGATGGAGCTTTGTATTGGAAAGACCTTTGTCCAACTTCTTTGAAAATACCGGGGACAAAGGAAAAGGGTTATTGCATATGTCTGAGTGGATATGAGGAATTACATGGAGTCAAAAACTGTTTCAGATACGAGGGGCAATTGAAATGAACACATTTGCAAATGAATTGAATCCAGTGAAATTGCCATCTATATTTAGGCTGCAGCCAGTTCACTGATTCATACATGAAGCAGTGGTGAGTTCAACATGGACACCTAACAGCGTAGCGATGTAGAGAATTATACATTAAAGGGTTTAAGATGAGTGTCAAATGTGTTTTGATAGACAATGTCAGTATAATCAATGATAGGTAACTGTGAAATTATTCTTTTCTTGATCTGAAATGTGAAACAATTAATTGATCGATAGAGTGAACTCAGACAACCAGACACTCTTTTAATAATAAAGTGAATATAGGGCTTAAAAGAGAGTTCTGGGTCGATCCAAAGTCCAAGATATTTGAACAAACCTGTGTATCTACCACAGTATATGTACAACATAAAACCCATTTGTTTCCCTCCTTTAGCCCGGCGATCACACCGGTACCGACGCCACCACCACAATCAGCACAACGAACGCCGTGGCCACAGGAGACACGGAGGAGAGGGACACAAGGCCAGAGAGGATGCACACAGCTACTACTGAACCAAATAATATAACATCTGCAATGCCTAGGTGCTAACCATGGCCCATAAATAAAGACAGTAGTTCACATCACCCTCATTTCCTTTCCTGCTTCTACAGTTTATCTCCATAACCTCTATATCCCCGAGTTTGGGTGTTTTGATGCTTCTTTTTGTTTTCCTGCTTCCTTTAACCGAGGTCCATGCGAACACTAACTATAACACTAACTCTTATTAACGCCCTCCCTCCATAACATCTCAGTACAGTAAATCCTCCTCCTGTATATGAACTAAAACCCTCTCTCGGTCTGTCAGACTGACAGTAGTGTGTGAGCGTGTGTGAGAGTATGCATGTAAGAGAGAAACTTAGAAAAGTGCGGAGTCACTTTTTTTTGCAAAGGTCTGCTTGTTCTACATGAAAAATGACTCTCATCCTAGTATTCTGTTTACAAAGCACAGATGTAATTGATGCCAGATAGCATTCAGTCCCTGGTGACCCTGAGCTTTTTGTATGTGTACCGTAGCTGTTACTTTTTCCATAGAGCACCTGAATAGCTGGTCTGTTTTATTCTACTGACATGCTTTTTTCTAATATTTGCTATGTTTTTGTGTTATGTTACTATTTATTATGAATTGTTTGCTAGTGAAGATGCTTTCTTTTTTTACTTATACTGCAGAGAGCCGATGTAACATCATTTTTCTATACCAGTATATAAGTCCAACAACAAACAATAAACTTAATTAATCATTTGATTGCCACTAATCTCTGTATTGTAAATATTGTGGTGTTTGTTATTGGCTGATCCCTGATCAATAGCTGGACCTTGTCTAATCAAATAGATCCCCCCTCCCAACCTCATAAGCACTCTCAGCTAATGAATATGTCCCGTTGGCATAGATAGTGTGGATGGGATTATACAATACTTTCTGAGATAACCACTTGATTGTATCTGAATTGCTAAATCTTTCAATCTTTGCACGGCTATATATTTACATCATGGGTAGAATGTCACTATTTTTTGTCTTTGGTCCCTTTGATATTTGATCGGTCATCCACTTTTTTGGTGTTCTTATGACTTTTTGTCCTGCTGTTGTATTCCATTCTTAATAAAGTGAAAAAATGAACAACAGCACTTCTGATTGTTTTTATTTGATTTTTTAATTCAAGCATTTATCATGTGCATTTTTATTAGCCATGTTAGCACTACAATATTTTGGATGGATTACCATGAAATGTGGTAGATATTCATGGTCCCCAGAGGATGACCACTAATAGAGTGCTGCAGTCCTTAAACTTAGAAATTATTCAATGCTTCTGGACTTTTGGTTCCCTCGTGCTAAACACAGAAACTCCTTCACCTCCATTACAGTTTTGTTGTGTCCATACTCACACTCTCACAAACTATATTCAAACTTTCCAACTTGTAGATAGGCTATTTTTCAGTTGTAGTTAAATTGGAAGCTTCGTGTTGGTGATGAAGTCATGCGATCATGGTCTACATCTTGTTCGTTTATAGCCTAATGTTAGCTTTTCTGGCAATTGCATCTTCGCCGTGATGATCCCAGTCAAAGACGCTTATCAAGGCCCAAGCTGTCCTACAGTAGCTATAAGGGGCCCCACCAAGGGGAGGTTTGGGGCAACGGACTGCAGTGGTTCCCAACTGGTCCAGCAACAGGGTCCAGATTTCTCCTTCGTCATTAGTTCAAGGTCCATCTCAGTCTAATACATTCAGCGCCATACTTGCGTTTCACCATGTCATCAAGCTAGTTTACTGCCTCTCTCAAGTAGCTGTCTGTTAATCACTCACTCTACAGCAGGAAATGGCACTTCAAAATAAAAGCTCTGTGCTGGAAATTCAGTGTACTTAAAAAACTTTTTACAAACATGACATGTTTGCAGGTCACTTGCAATCCATTCAGAATGGACCTGCGACCCAATTTTGGACCATGACCCACCAGTTAGGAACCACTAGTGTGCTGTATAGTGGGACCTTATGGGAAGTTTACAGTTGTCATTGCAAAATGTGTCAATGTCAGTGGCCATCAGGGGCCCCGTTTCCCAATTGTTGTCTTTTTGCATCTATGCTTAAAAACTTTTTTTTTTAAAAAGTTGTGCTCATCTGTAAAGAAATGTTGCTGTATAAACAGTGTAGGCCTTAGTTTCATAAACTTTAGTTTGCCATAGAGCTTATTTTCTGCAATAATCCAGGCTGGCCTACAAAAGAAACTCAGTTGGGGCGTCTAGTAGCTCACCTGGTAGAATGGGCACCCCATGTACGAAGGCTATGTCCTTGCCGCAGCTGCCACTGGTTCAATTCCAGCCTTTGGTACTTTGCTGCATGTTGTCCCCTCCCTCTTTCCCACTCACACTCATCCTGTCCTATACGTGTTGTTTTGAGTAAAAGATCTCAACAATACCGAATGGATTGTCATAAAATTTGGTGAACAGATTAATTTTCCATACAGTATGAATAATTACATATGTGCTCCCCCCATTTGTCCACCCATAGCATCACCATCAGGTCAAAACTTTAATTTGTCCAACATAACAGCATTCAGGTAGCAGAATGTAGCTTATGTTTGGTGCCGCTTAGCAAATGTTAGCAACCTAAAACAAATATGGTGACCAAGATATAACCTGATAAACATCAATGTGTTAGCATAATCATGTTAGCATTAGCATTTAGCTAAAACACCACCGCCTAGCCTCACACAGAGCCAGCAGCATGGCTGTGGACTTTAGTTCTGCTGTAGTGGAGTGTGTACAGATCCCATAATCCATTACTTTGAGACAGGAAAGTGCTGTTGTGTTTAGAGATTGTTTCTATCATGTCACCTTGGTGCCCCAGCAGATGAAACTCGATCAAACCCCTTTATTTTGGCTTTATCTTTCTGAGCTTTGCTGATCACTTCATATTGCACTCTACACAGCCAGCAATAGTTTCATCCTGTTTGCTTCACAAGGCAATTTTCTCATCTCTGTTGTGTCTGTGAGCAGAATATTTTAAGAGAGAAGGATGGCCCACCAGGTGAGTGGGACATAGAAGACTGTTTGCCAGAATGACTCACAAACCAAGAGAAACCCTGCTGTCAAAATAACCATCCAGTTTTCTTCTGGTGAATTACAGTTTGATTTTAATCTGATATTGCAGCCACAGAAGTCAATCTAAGGTTCCTCCCTCTGTGGTTCTTTGCTTATCTCTGAACGGGATTAATTTAGGGCGATATCTTGGATTTAATAACACTTTTAATAAGTCCAGGCAGCCCCTCCGGCCCGTATGAGAAACAAGGAAACTCAGTAACATTTTCTGTTATCTTGATTTTTTGTTTGTTTTTCATTTAAAACCACTTGGATGCTTAGTGTTTTTCTACTTGTCTAAAAGCTGATTTTCTATTACTTTCCTCTCCTCTGCCATATTGCAAAAACATGTTAAATTGCTTTATTCATACATGTATTTCCTAATGTCGCAATTGCCAAAGCCATGGACGGCTGACTGACATGTCTCGTGATCATTCGTGCTGCTGCTGTGTGTGACAGTTCACCTAAATCCAGGGTTCACCTCTTATCAGCGGCCTCAGCAGAGTTAACTGGGCCGGCAGTTCACCCTAAGGGTTCACCGCACATAGGGCACGATGACATCACCATCCAGAGACAATATTGACAATGACAACTTTATTATTTTTTTAAAGTGCAGACAGACATCAGCTAAGGCACTCACAGATAATACTCAAATAATCTGTACCCCATACTAAAACAAGCCCACTTCAGTGCTCCGTTTGTTTGTACAAAATAAAGTGGATTATGAAACATGGAAACTTCTCTAAGATTCAGTTACAACTAGAGCTGTAATCGAATAATTTATTAGTTGATACACACGACTGCTTTGAACTGTTTCAGCTTCTCCAGTGAGGGGATTTGCAGCTTTTTTTCCCCATTTCATATAATTGTAAACTGAATATCTTTGGGTTTGAGCTGTTGGGTCAGACAAAACAATGTGAATATGTCACCTTTGGCTTTTGGAAATTGTGATGGACATTCTTCATTATTTTCTAGACTAAATTAAGCAAACAATTAATCAGAAAGTAAGTAGGTAGTTGTGGCAGCGGTGACATAATGTAGGATCATCAAATATTTTGCACAATATAAAGGCACCAGGTGGTGTATTTCCTTCATCAAATTCTCCACTTAAATAACATCTGCTATTATTTCCCCTAACAGAAACTCTTCAGCCTTCACAGCATTTAGTGTATCTTCTTCTTACATTCAGCTGAACAATGAAAACTCTGATCGTTTTCACCGACTGTCGATATTAGATCAGTAAAAATAAACTTCAAGCTGTGAGCTGTGGTGTGGATTTCTGCTCAGAAACAAGAATAATGAGGACTGTCGCTCTCCAGTCGTGTGTTGCCAAACTGTGATCCATATAGAAGATTCCAACTGGGTATCTACATGAGTCACCTGAAAGCTGATCACAGTCCTCAACTCCCATCAACAGCCTTCTTATCAGGGTCCAATAGTCCATGCAGGGAGTGCTGTTGCAGCTGCTGCTGTGCGAGGTGACTGATTCTGAACAGTTGACTCAGAGAGTAACGTTTTTAGATTTCCTCTGGGTTAAAGCTTGAAAAATTGTGTGTTTAATGCAGTTTGTGCGCAAAAGAGAGTCCCCGGAAAACATTAGCCTTGTCACAGCGTGAAGTATTCCTCGACAGTCTGTGGCTGGTGTGTGGTCTAGTTTTTCTTCTTCTCGTTGTTGCTCTGTCCCTTGGGAATAGGTTTCATAAAATAAGCGGGGGTGGTGCGGCAGCGTAGGGCCAGAAGAGCCGGCACAGCAGCCAGCAGCACATTGAGGGTGATAACAGGCCACCATTTGTCTGCTGGGACTCGGTACGTGAAGGGAGTGCGGGAGTGCAGAGATGCTCCGATATGGCACCACTGGGTCTGAGAGAACAGCAGGAGAAAGTCAGCTTTATGCTGTATTTTGCTTTTTCAAGGAATATTAATAACAGCAAAGACATAACAGTTACCTGGGACATGGCCCCAGCGAAGAAGATGGTCCAGTCCAGCATCCAGGTGCAACCAGGTGTTTTCAGACCATAGATAAAGACAGTGAGCAGGGGCAGAGCATAGAACAAATACACCAGCATCTGCAGGAGAGGTACACAAAAAGATCACTCAGCATTTTGAACAAAAGCATTTAGTATGTTTACTTTAATTTGGTGTATTTCTCTCCAGACTGACCATAACCCTGGGAAAGCCAACTGGGTCTTTGAGGTAAGGCTCATACTGGTAAATGTAGGTGAAACAGGTGTCTAGAGGACAGTCCAACACCACCTGGAGCAGAGCAGGAGGAGCGAGTTATACTAGCAATACTGCACATGTGACCCAATGTCTCGCTGAGTTCATTCAGAAGCAGTAATGCTGGATATAAATACAAAAGCTCCCAGGTCGTTTTACTCACAAAGCCTCTGAAGACAGAGAAGGCCATTGCTCCGAGTAACACAAGAGACAGAAGCAGGTCAACAGGTCGAGACAGCAGACTTTTCTTCTGCTCCATTGAAATCTAGTAAATACAGGAAAAATTTCGGTGCATGTACCATACATTCAGTCACTTAAAGATTCTGTATATGACATTCAGAACACTAATAAAGCAGAAAACAAGCATTTGCTATGTAAGGATACAGTGGAGTAATAGTGTCCTGACCAGAGAATGAAGTTGCGCTCCCTCTGATTGTGTTGTAATCTGAGCTTCTCTGTTCTTTGTTGTGATAGACGGTCCATGTCAGTGCATGGGAGTGTGTATCCCAGTGGCTAGCTAATCCCCGCCACTCTGCACTATATTCATATGGAGGTGATAGCTGCGATAGTGTTGTCATAAAGCTGTACGGTCTATGTGTTGGTCAAGAAAAATCTTTATCACAGCTCTTTTAAAGGGAAATTTCAGGTTATTTCAACCCGTCTTCTATCGTCCTAAATTTGTTTCAAGTGACTAGTGACATAAAAATAATAGTTAGCATGTTAGCCGTTAGCCTAGATACAGCTGGGGCGCATAGTAGCGTCAAACCTAAGTGAACGGGCATACTTCTAGTGCAAAGTTAGTCCACTGAACAAGTTTTTTTTCCACAAA